TGACCTCTGTGGGACAAGAGAAGGAGATGGGTAGAATGAGTCTTGTTCTCTCAAAGTGCTGTTGTTCATTCATTCAGGAAATATTGATTGGGCAAATCCTGGACAGTTCTAGGCACTACATAAATATCAGCGAATAAATCAGACAAAAGACCTTGTTCTTGTGGACCTTTTATTTTTAATGAGGGGGACAGACAATAAAGAAATGTCTAACATAATGTCAAGGAGGATGAATACTAGAGTATATGGTGGTGGGATGGGAGCTATTTTAGACAGATTGTCCAGAGAAGGCCTCTCAGAGGGAATGACTTTTGGACAAAGGTGAATGGAGTGTGAGCCAGCCATGTGAGAATTCTAGACAGAAGGAGCAGCAAGTGCAAAGGCCCTAACGCAGGAACTAGCTTATATGATGGAGCAGCGAGAGGGCAGGTGTGGCTGGAGTGAAAGAAGAAAGATGGTAGGAGACGAGGGCTGCAGCATGTAGAACCTTGAGATCTACAGGGAAAACGTTATATTTCATTCTGGAAGAGATCAAAAGCCACTAGAGGGTTTTAAACAGGAAAGTGGCATAATCTGGTTCAGGCTCTAGAAGATCCCGGAAGCCTGCAGTCGAGAATGCATTATGGCAGGGTAAGGGAAAATAGAGAGATCAAAGAGAGACTGAGACCGTCACCCATGCAAAAGAGGCAGCTTGGATGGGACGGTGGTGACCAAGGAGATGAACAGGGGTTGGTCCAAGGAAGTGGTCAAAATAAAACCCTGGTTTATCCCAGCAGGTGAGGGCTTTAGAAATCCTAAGACCAGGCAGGAACTTGGGAGTCCTAGGTCTGAAGCCCAGATATACACATTCTAGCTTTAAGTCCTTAGGTGAGTTGCTACACCTCTCGGAGCCTTGGTTTCCCCATCTGTAAACTGAGTATGATCTAAGGAGTGTCTTGAGGACTCAGTGACAAGTAAATAAAGCACAGTGCACAGGGCTTAATACTTAGTAGACAGTAAAGTTATTAACAACTCAATTCCCCACATTTATTGCTAGAAAAACAGAGGCCAGCTAGTTTAGAGGCAGACAGAGGAGGGGGAAGGGAGAACAGGAAGTAGGACTTACACAGTTTCTCAAGTCATATACCCACAGAGTCCAGACAGTAAGATGGATGAGTAAAATGGTCTAGGAGCATGAAAAATCATGTGATTCTCTCTAGTCATCTTGTTCTCCCACTTTTGAGAGACATGGGAAATTAGAAACATTTCTCTACTCTTAGATAAATCAATGTAAGTATAGTAAGTAGCAATCAATATTCAGCTGCAGTGTCAGGGAGACAACAGAGGAGAGTGTAACGATGGCCACAGGGAATTCATGTGCCCATGGAAAAGGGCTGGCTAGCAGCTTCACCTGGCTGCTCCCCACTGTGAGATATGCCAACTTTAATTTTAGAAGACAGAAATCCAGATTTCTAGATGAAATCTCCCAATTTTATTTTTTTAAATATATTTTTATTGATTTCAGAGAGGAATAAGAAGAGAGAAATAGAAACATCAATGATGAGAATCATTGACTGCCTACCTCCTGTACACCCCCACTGGGGATCAAGCCCACAACCCAGGCATGTGTCCTGACTGGGAATGGAACTGTGACCTCCTGGTTCATAGGTTGACGTTCAACCACTGAACAACACTGGCTGGGAAAATCTCTTAATTTTAATTAAATTTCCTAAGTGCTTCTGGATATGGGAACACAGTATAGTGATCTTGTTATTATTTCACTCTTTCTGATCCTTATACCATTTATTTCTTTTTCTTGCCTTATTGCCAATATAATGATGATGTAATAATAAAAGGCATCTTTGTCTTGTTCCTAACACAGAGGAAATGCATCTCACTTTTTAGAATTGCAGTAGGTTTTAAGTTTCATTCAATGGCTATTTTCCCATTGACTTTTAGAGAGTAGAAGGGAAGGGGAAAGATAAACATCGATGTCACGTCGATTGGTTGCCTCCCATATGTGCCTCAACCAGGGTTGGGGTTTGAGCCCGCAACCAAGGTACTTGCCCTTGACAAGAATCAATCCAGGACCCTTCAATCTGGAGGCTGATGCTCTATCCACTGAGTAAAAAACCGGCTAGGGCTAAATTTCATTATTTTTAAATAATTGGCTTATTTTTTCAAGCTAAACAAAGTTTCTCTGTAGGCTGGAATCAACTAAGGGCTATCAATTTGTGATATTTACTTTATCTGAATTCTCTGTCTGAATTGTGACAACAACTCCATTGGGTGGGTACTACTTAGTCTCCCCATTTGACATATGAAGACAGGGCAGTTCGGAGAAGTGAAGTGACTTGCCACAGTCATACAGCTGGGAAGGAGCAGGGACAGGATTCAAACCCAAGTCTTCTGATGTCAAAATCGGTGGGACCTTGGATGCCCAGGACAGCCATTTTACACTTTATCTGTCTAGTATCTTGGGGCTCTATAAGGAGTCCTGGTATCCTGAGTGACCCTTGACTAAGGGTTTTCCTCACTTGGGCCTTAGTATCTCCATCTGCCAACCTAGGAGGGGTTCAGCTATGGGAATCCCAATACTGACCCAGCTTCCTCCCCTGTAGTCCAACTCTGCAGCTATTAAATATTAAACCCCATCTTGATATCTTCTGTGACCTGGCTCTGCCGCTTACTGCTACGTGTCTTGGGGTTACTTGACCTCAATGTGCCTGTTGCCTCATCTCAGCTGTAAATGGGATTAACCACAGCACCTACCTAGAAGAGCTTAGGACATGCCAAGCATAGGATAAGTGCCTGCCTCGTAAACATTGATCCTCATGCTTCTGGTAGATGTGCATGCATGTGTGCACTGACAGGAAGAGGCAGAAATGTAACTTAAATAGTTGTATTAAGATAAAAATGTGGCTTTTAACATTTCCTTTAATGTCATGATTAATAATGTTTAATGCCTCCCATGACTCATATATTATATAGAGAATAAAGTCCAAATTCCTTAACTCCATATCCAAGGGTCTCCGATTCAATATTAATCCATATTTCAATAGAGCAAAGGGCTACCAGCAAAAGGAGACAGGCTCTGTGACTTACTAGCTCTATGAGTTTGGGCAAGGAAGTTTGCCTCTCTGTGCCTCTGCTTCCTCATCTATAAAATGAGGAAAGTAACAATTCTCTCCTAGCTGGGCTGAGTGATATGAAATAAAAGGCTTAGTTGGGTGTCCGTAATATGTTCATGTACAGGCTTGAACATAGTGATTATCATGCTCTACCCACTGCCTCTAAATCTCTGGTCACCCTTCACTCATTGCCTTCCCCTAATTATCCAACACTGATCTATGGTTAGAGCATCAGCCCATGCACTAAAGGGTCTCAGGTTTAAGTCAAAGACATGTATGTGGGTTGCAGGTTCAATTCCCACCCCGGTAGGGTGCGAGTGGGAGGCAACCAATTGATGTTATTCTCTCTCGTCAGCACTCTCCCCGCCCCCCCCCCCCATCTGTCCACTCTCTCTAAAAATCAATGGAAAAAATATCCTCATGCAAGAATTAACAAAAGAAACAACAACACACACAAAACCACTCTATATCAAGGCCCAGCTCAAACGTCACATCCTTCAAAGAGACTTCCCATCTCCTCCAGTCCCTCTCCTGGCTTTTATGAGGGCTGGGTACACGTAAACCTCTCACCCCCTTGGCTGACTCATTTGTCCCTCCCATTGCTTCCTACCCTTCCTGAGGATGTGAGGAGCCAGGCTTGCTCTGAGCAGATGTCTGAGGTATGTGCTAGCCTTCAAGGAAACTCAGTTACCAAACTGAGTCCAACCATTCTGCCACATCCTGCCCCGTCCCCTCCGGAGCCTCAGTCTCACCTGTAATGGAGGCGATGTGGCCCGCAGGGTGGGAGTGAAAAGAAATTAGGAACTCAGCCAAGGCCGCTTTTCTCTCTCCCAGCCCCCCAACGAGCCTGGTTTGCTTCCCCCTGGACCAGCTGGAGATGGGGAAGGGGATGCTGGATGCAGGGGCATCTACGGCCATCCAGAGACCTGCTCAAGGTGGACTCTGGCTCGAGTCAGGGTTTCTGATTCCAAAGGTTTGGGGGCAAGGCCCAGGATCCTGCATTTTCAAAAGTGAGTAGAAACTCTTCCTTCTGGGTGTTTTCAAGGGCTATGTTCTGAAACAGCCATTCTGGGAGCACAAAACTTCTCCGAGGCTCATGGGGCAGACAGCCCTAGGAAGAGACCAAGACCCCCTCAGCCCCACACACTGAGGAAGGGAGAATGTTGCCACACAGGATCTAAGATGGAAACTGCCAAAGCTAGGGTCTAAGCCATGTGGACACACATTTTGATAAAAACGTTTATTGAGCTCTTTCCAAGTGCCGGGCACTATGTGAACCCTTTGCATATTTCAGCACACCAGATCCCCACGACAGCCCCATGAGGTAGTGTTATCATTACCCTCATTGTTTAGAGGAGGAACACAGGGCTCAGAGAGGTGAAGTGACTTACCCAACATCACACAGCAGTGAGTACAGCACTTGAATCTGAAGCCAGATTTGTCCGATAGCTGCACGCTAACCTCAGTGCCTCCTAAGTGCCTACAGCAGAGGCATCTGAAGATGCTGTGAGGAGCCATATGTAAAACGGTAGAGCAGATAAGGGCTCTGGCCATGTCAGGCTGCCCAAAGAGCAACCTGACTATGGGCCAGCCCTAAGGCAGCCCAAAGGGGGGTGGCAGGGCCACCTTATCTTCTCTGTTTAGGCTACAAGCCTGCACCAGCCAAACCCTGGGCCACTCAGATTCAGCCATCTCTCTTGCTATCACTCCTGCCTGGAAGCCATAAGCAGCCCTGGCCCCAGGTCCCCAAATGCAACAGGGTTTTCCAGAAGGATAGGGGACACAGCAGGGCAGTCACAGGCCATCTCTGCTGACAGCTCGCTTCCATCTTCTCTTCCAGAGGCCATGGACCCAAAGGTGAGCATCAGGCTGGGAGCAAACACCATGGGTCCATCACTCAGAGGCCTGGATGTAGACAGGCACAGCAAGCATGGCACATGGGCCCTCAGCCCCTGCCTGTAGCTCTGCCAGTGCCAGGTTGGGGCCCAGGCCCTCGGCATGCCCAGGCACTACCAGCTCAGGTTCACTGCCCACCGTGCCACCCACTACGATGGACAGCACGGCATCCGGCTCTGAGAAGGGTGGCTTGCCTGGGGCGGCCTCGGGCACTGGCCCAGTCCCTGGGTCTTTCAACTCCTCCAGCCCCAAGGGGTCAGGCAGGGGGGTCACCGCCTTGTGTCCACCACCACTGCCGCCGCGGGGGGCGGCCCTCCTCCGGGGGGGCCGCCGGGCTTGCAGGTCCTTATCCTTTTGGGGTCCGAGGCGGCAGCGGTGATCCTTGAGGTATTTGTGGCGGGAAAAGCCCTTGGCGCAGCCAGCACAGCGGAACTTGTAGTTGCCCGTGTGGGCGCGCTGGTGCTCGGCGAGGTGGGCGCGGCGGCTGAAGGACTTGCTGCACAGGGCGCACTTGTGGAGCTTCATGCCTGGTGGGGAGGGAAGTCAGTGAGAGGCACCCAGACCCTTCACCCCGCAACAGCGCCCCTGTGCTGGGAACCAAACCCAGGTCCTCGGCTTGTCTAGAAACATCTGTGTGATCTGGGCTCTCATCTCTCACCTTCTCCCAGCCCCTATGCCAGCCACATACTGGTTCTCCTCAAAGGCATCAAGCTGGTGCCTGCTTCTGGGCCTTTGCACTTGCTGTTCCCTCTGCCTGGGGCAGTATGCTCAGCCCCCTAATTTTCCAAGGTCCATCATCTAGCTTCTCTCTGGTATGCTTGCCTCATGCAGCCCCCTGACCATTTCCTACAGGGCAGCTAGTGACAACTTCGGAAAACGCATAAAGGATCATATTCCCTGCTCCAAATCCTTTAATGATTCCCCAAATTTCCCACAAAGCCCCGTACAGTCTGACCACTCCCTCACCTCTCAGTAGCATCCCCTCCTTCCCCACACCGTGTTCTCTGAGCTCCAGGCCTCCCTCTGGCCTTTCCTTATCTCAGACACCCCCCAATATCCCCCTCCCTTCCCTGAAGCCATTTGCTGGCTCTTTTCATGTCACCTCCTCTCTTCATTCTCTGCCCCATCACCCTGTTTATCTCCATCTTTGCACTCAGCATACTTTGCAGCTACATACTAATTTGTCTGCTGTTCATTTTCCATCTCTACTACTAAATCGCAGCTTCCCCAGGAGGGCGGGGTGGGGTTCTTCCTGATTCCCTCAGTGCCTCACACATGGCAGGTTCTCAATAGTCACTCACTGACTAAGTCACTGGTGCCTCCGCGTACATATGAAGTCACTCCAGCCCACACGCAGCCTGAGCCATAGCCCCCTCAACCTCCCTGGCTTAGAGAGGGGCAATGACTTGCCTGAGGCAAGTGGCAGTGCCAGAGCTCACACCCAAGCCATCTGCCTCTAAGTCCTGATTTATTCTCACAGCTTTCAAACTTTCTTTAGCCATTAAATCCTTTCTGTTCCCTGGTTTCGGCACACACGCATACACACAGAAAAATCCTTTCTGTAAACCTTGGTTCTTAACCAAGGATGATTTTAGCTCCCAGGAGACTTTCAGCCTTTCCCCTGGAGACATTTCTGGTTGCCAACAATGTGGAGAGATGCCACTGACACCTGGGTAGAGGCCAGGGATGCTACTGACCATCCTATAGTGCACAGCATGGCCCCTACAACAACGAGTTATCTGGCCCCAAATAATGGATAGCGCCAAGGCTGAGAAACCCATTCTAAACTAAAGAATATAGTTTAGGGGGAAGCTTTGTGAAGCCCCAGAAAACCAAGGACTGCTGTGGAGACCCCTGATCCACAGCCCAGCTACCCGGCTCTGCCAAGGGAACAAAGAAACTTCCTGGCCTTATCTTGGGCCCAGTCAGAATATGACCTCCCTCTACATCTGATCCTCATCTCTATCACACCAAAAACCTCTCTGATTTATAGTTATCTCTTCTCAGGTCAGTTTCCCCCTCAGCCTGGGTGCACCCCACCTCTGTGCACCCCAAGGACCCTACCACAAGCCCGGCTCATGGCTCACATGAGCAAACGTTTGTTGGCTGGGACGTACCAGACAGGAATAACAAGTCTCACGGGATGTGTCTGGGAGCCTCCCCCCGGGGGCTTAGGCTGGACCAGACCCTCCTGGGGGTCCCAGGCCACTTACCAGAGTGGGAGAGGATGTGAGCCTTCAGCTTATCTGGCCGGTTGAACTCCTTACTGCAGCCTGTGTGTGTCCTAGAACCAAAGCCACTAGTCAGGAGGTGCTTAACAAGTTCAGAACCCTCTTGCTGGCCCCTCTGCTAACCCTGAGCATGAGGACACTCTTGTCCATCCTAATGGCTGGGCAAAGAAGCAGGGCGCGGAGTGAAGCCAGCAGGTGGGGCCCAGGACAGGATAAAAGGAGGGAGGGCCTTCAGTCCTCACCTGACATCTTCCTGTCTATCTCACTAGTGGGTAAACCCATCCCCCTCCATGCCAACCTCTACTCACGAGAAGGGGCATTTGTATTTCTTGAATGGCTCGTGGATCAACATGTGTCTCTTCAGTTTGTCTTTGCGGTTGAATGCGGACTCACACACTGAGCATTTGTAGGGCTTCTCCCCTGCAGGAGACACAGACACGGGGTGAGGATCTCATGAGACAGAGTCTGAACATTGAGCCACGGGTGTGGAGGGGTTCCCCACTAGAGGGCAGCAGCTCCTCTAGGAAGGTGGCCTGGGAGAAAATAGCCAATCCCATTCCTTGTGACTTGGTTTTGCCAAGAAGAGGGAGCCATTTCAAATGGGGCAGTCAGGAAAGGCCACTCTGATGGGCAACAGATGAGGTGAAACCTGAGGTAATATGTGGAAATCTGGAAGTGAGGGTCCCAGACAGAGGGAAAGGAGGGGGTGTTTGAGGAACAACAAGGATGCCAGTGTGGTTGGAACTGAGTAGGGGGATGGAGAATGAGGCAGAAGATGAGGTCAGTGATGCTTCCTGGCCCTACAGGGATGGTCTAGAAGGCCAAGGAAGGACTTGGGCTTTTGCTCTTAACCTGATGAGAAGCCACAGAGGGGCTGAGCAGAGGAGGGACAGAATCTGACTGAAGAGTTCCTCAGGCTCCCTTGGTTGCATGTAGAGGAGAGACTGAGGGGGTGAGGGAGGAGAAAGGAAGGAGCTGGTACAAGAAATGGGAAGAGGTCAAGCATAGACTATGTTGGAATGCAGAATTGGCAGCCTTTGCCAGTGAATTGGCTGTGGGATGTAAGAAGGGGAGAGTCTAGAATGAGACAAAGGTAAGCCAAGTGACAGAGTGTGTGATCGTGTGATTTACTGAAATGAGGTACACCTTGTCCAAGTGGACCCTTGCAACACCAAACCATGAGGTAAGTACTATCATTATCCCTTTTTATGGATGAGAAAACTGAAGTTCATGGTCTATACCTAGAGGTGGAGGGAGCTAAGATTCTAGCCCAGCAGTATGATCCAGAGCCCACCTTAGTGCAGCCTGAGTGTCCTGCTGCAGAACTGCTGGGGAAGAAGGGGGCTGGGGACAGCTCTCACCTGACAGCTCACAACACGCCGTAGGAAAGGACTGTTACTGGGCTGTTTTAATTTCCTGCCACTATTTCCTCTCTGTTCTCCCTCTGGAATGAGTAAATTACTTTTGAAAAATGCCATCCACCCATCCAGTGATTAAGGAAATTCTGATCCTTACAATGGAATGCTCTGCAGTTATTAAAAAGATTAAGTTACACCCGTGTTTCTTGATCTGGAAAGATCTCCTAGACATATTGCTAAGGGGAAAAGAAAGCTATCGAACAGCCTAATATAGTCCCATTTTTGTAAGAAAAAAAATATAATCCTCACACTCAAAAAAAAGCCCAAGCTATATGTGTTTGTATGTACACAAAATATGCAGGAAGAACAGTTGGAAAGGGTACAATCTATAGCAATTAGGATTTGAAGGAGCAATCTAACATTTGATTTTATGTATTTCTACACTACTTTCGTATTTACAATAAGCATGTATCACTTCTTAAAAAATTCTTTATTGTTGAAAGTATTACATATGTCTTCCTTTTACCCCACTGACCTCTCCCAACCGCTCCCACCTCCCAGCACAGGCCCTCATCCCCCTATTGTCTGTGTCCATTGGTTATGTTTATATGCATGCATACAAGTAAGCATGTATTACTTTTGAATAATATAATACTTCCTTTTTAAAAATATATATATTTTATTGATTTTTTTACAGAGAGGAAGGAAGAGGGATAGAGAGCTTGAAACACTGATGAGAAAGAAACATCGATCAGCTGCCTCCTGCACCCCCCACCCCCCCACTGGGGATGTGCCTACAACCAAAGGTACATGCCCTTGACCGGAATTGAACCTAGAACCTTTCAGTCTGCAGGTCGATGCTCTATGCACTGAGCCAAACTGGTTTCAGCTGAATAATAATACTTTCTTTTAATCCTTACCCAAGGATATGTTTTTATTTATTTTAGAAAAAGAGGAAGGGTGAGGGAGGGAGAGGGAGAAACATCTATCGGTTGCCTCACATATGCACCCCAACCGGGGATGGAACCCACAACCTGGGTTTGTGCCCTGACAGGGAATTGAACCTGTGACTTTTCTTTTCTTTTTTTCTTTTAAAAATATATTTTGATTAATTTCAGAGGGGAAGGGAGAGAAAGAGAGAGATAGAAACACCAATGATGAGGGGGAACCATTGATTGGCTGCCTCCTGCACACCCCCTGCTGGGGACTGACCCCGAAACCCGGGCAAGTGCCCCCAACTGAAATCGAACCCAGGACCCTTGAGTCCGCAGGCTGATGCTTTATACACTGAGCTAAACTGGCTAGGGCGAACCTGTGACTTTTCAATGTATGCGATGACATTCCAACCAATTGAGCCACACCAGCCAGGGATGAGTAATAAAAATTTAAAATCATTTGGGCCCTGACCCGTTTGGATCAGTGGATAGAGTGTTGGCCTGCAGACTGAAATGTTCCAGGTTCGATTCCTGTCAAGGGCATGTACCTTGGTTGCAGGCACATCCCAGTAGGGAGTGTGCAGGAGGCAGCTGATCAATGTTTCTCTCTCATTGATGTTTCTCTCTCTCCCTCTCCCTTCCTCTCTATAAAAACAAAAAAAATCAATAAAATATTTAAAAATATTTTTTAAAAAAGAGACTAATTTGGTAATACCTATCAAAACTATTAATGCATATATTTATCTTGTTTCTTTTTTTTACTGTAAAATATACCTAACATAAAATTTATCATGTTAACTACCTTTTAAGTGTACAGTTCAGTGGCATTCACACTGTTGTATAATAATCTTCATCATCCATCTCCTGAACATTTTCAGCCTTCCAAACTGAAACTTAGTGCTGCAAATACATTTTAACCTCGCACTTCCTCTTTAGGAATATACACTACAGATATACTACCAAAAGCTTGCTAAGGGTCCACATAACACTGTGTACGCAAACAAACAGCTAAAAAATAATTTAAGTGTCCATCCATAGGAAACTGGTTAAATAAAAGATGATAAATGTAGAGAAATACTATGAAGCTGAGAAAAAGGTAGAATTCAAGGTATAATGATAAGTGAAGAAAAAAAGGTACATAATAGAATTTTAGTATGTGCTCAGTTGTAGAGAAGTAAGCAAGTACTTTATAAAGATGTAAAACAAAACTAGAATGATGCAGGCATGCCGCTAACAGCTGTTGTCTTTGAGGAGGGTGTTGCCTTTGGTAGGAGTATTTTTCAAACTGCAAACTAGGAGTCACAAGCTGTTGGTGGTTATTTTTTAAAAACATATTTTATTGATATTTTTACAGAGAGGGATAGAGAGTTAGAAACATCGATGAGAGAGAATCATCGATCAGCTGCCTCTTGCACACCCCCTACTGGGGATGTGCCCGCGACCAAGGTACATGCCCTTGCCCGGAATCGAACCTGGGACCTTTCAGTCCGCAGGCCGAGGCTTTCGGCTGTTAGTGTTATTTTAACAACAAAAATTAAACAGAATAGAAGAGAAAATAATGCTTCGTGAAACTTTTGTTTCAATATAGTCTATGTATATAGATGTGTTTCCTGAGTTGCAATAAAAAAATGTATATTTTACCATAGGTCATAGCAAAAAAGAAGAATTGAGAAACATTTGGCTTGTCCATCTGAGGTGAGGGAGGTTCATTTTCATTATATATGTTTTGGTATTGTTGAGGACTTTCTTCTAAGGTTTTCTCAATCTTTTGATCCTCTTCAATAAACCCCCCCGCCCCCCTGAATTTTCCAACTAATAAAAATTGTAATGATTAAAAAAACAAACAAACAAACAAAACACCAATGTGTCTCCACTGGGGAACAAGGAGAGGTGGTTTGTCCAGGTTCGAGTGCTAATTTAATGGTGAGAAAAGCATCCCCACCCCCCACGGCTCTCAATGGTCTGAGGGACTGACTCTCAAGGGGCAGAGGGGAAAGAACACGTACCAGCTTCCACCTGAGTGGCTGATCTCTGCTCTAGTGTTGGGGGGCAGATAGGGGGGAGGGCAAGAAGGAGACAGGAGGGAAAGGGGGCAGAAGGCAGATACAGGAGCTAAAGAGAGATGAGGAGGAAAGCCAGATAGGGATGGGAAGGAGAACAAAGAGGGGATGGGGGGTGGGGGAGGTGGAGGGGAGCTGGGTACCCACCTGAGTGGATGTGAGCATGCAGTTTGAGGTAGTGTTCCCGCCGGAAGAACTTCTTACACACCTGGCACTTGAACCTGCCTCCGCTGCCATGTGTGGGCAGGTGACGCCGAAGGTAGCGTTCGCAAGGAAACACCTGACAGAAGAAAGAAATCAGTTTCAAGTCTGACTCCCTAGCCCTTGCCACCTCCTCAGTTCCCCCACGTTTCCAGCTTTTCCTGAGGGAAATAACTCCTTTTCTGCTCACCCCGGGCAGAGCCCACACTGCCAGGCACATCCCTTAGAACATCATGGTTCCTACCACTCGCCCATAGCCCAGTCAAAACATGCCTGCTCAGAGCATACAGGTCTTTTCTTCTACCAAGAGGGCCTTTCTCTCTTTTCTCTCTTACTCTGACAAATTCCTACTCATCCTTCAAGGCCCAACTCAGATGTCACTGCTTCTTGAAGCCCTGACTCCACATTGCCACACCAGGCAAAGCAAATTCCGCCCTTGAATATACATCTACATTTTTAAATATATTTTATTGATATTTTACAGAGAGAAAGGGAGAGGGATAGAAAGTCAGAAACATCGATGAGAGAGAAACACCGATCTGCTGAATCGAACCCGGGACCTTTCAGTCCGCAGGCCGATGCTCTATCCACTGAGTGAAACCGGTTTCAGCTACATCTACATTTTTAAAGTCAGCATTTAACCCACTGAATTACAGCCCTTTGCTTACATGGGATCTCTAAGAGGACAGAAAGGGGCTTTCATTCTCCAGCATAGGGTCTGAGTCAACTGACTGTCAAGTAAAAGAATAAATTTATAAAATGAACAAACAACTAAAGAAATTAATGAAAAGATAATAAAAAGCCAGAAAACATAGAAACCAAAATCTCCTTCCTCCCAGACATAGGATAGGCATTTGTTCATTTCCCCCCCATTCATTTGATATATTGAAGTCAAGAGGCACAGACCCAACTACCCAGTACTTATTAGCCCTACCATTTCCTGGTTGGGTGACCTTTCTGTGCCTACCTCCTAGGGTTAAATGACTCAACTCAGATAAAATGTTCAGAACAGTATCTGGCCCATGGTTCTTGCTTGATTCATATCTATTACTTGAGCCACACATTCCAAAGTTCAAAATTAGATTATATAATTAGAAACATCTACAATGAGGCTGAAATGAAACCAGGGCTGTGCTGGAAAATCTGCCATGTCAGGTTGTAAGGAAATGAGTAGAACAAAGAAACAAGTTAAGTACACCATGGGGATGCAATCAGCAAAATCCAGACTTCAGGAAACGCCACAGGACCGATTGCCCAGTTTCTTCAACAAATAAGTGGGAAGGGAAACAAAAGGAACAATGGTGTGGGAAACCTCCATTTTAAAAGAAACTTTGGTCCTATCATCAAACTGCAATATGCAGACCTGATACAAACAAACAAACTTCACAAAAATTACATTTTTGATACAATTGGAACATGGCCTGGATATTTGATGATATTAAGGGATAGGCTTCAGCCGGGCCCGGGGCAGCCGGGCCCAGAGCAGCCGGGTCAGGTGCGGCCAGGCCCGGAGCAGCAGCTGCCAGGCTGGGAGCGGCCAGGCCCGGGGGAGCAGGCGGGTCGGGTGCGGCCAGGCCCGGAGCAGCGGCTGCCAGGCTGGGAGCGGCCAGGCCCGGGGGAGCAGGCGGGGCTGGTGCGGCCAGGCCCGGAGCAGCGGCTGCCAGGCTGGGAGCGGCCAGGCCCGGGGGAGCAGGCGGGTCGGGTGCGGCCAGGCCTGGAGCAGCGGCTGCCAGGCTGGGAGCGGCCAGGCCCGGGGGAGCAGGCGGGTCGGGTGCGGCCAGGCCCGGAGCAGCGGCTGCCAGGCTGGGAGCGGCCAGGCCCGGGGGAGCAGGCGGGGCGGGTGCGGCCAGGCCCGGAGCAGCGGCTGCCAGGCTGGGAGCGGCCAGGCCCGGGGGAGCAGGCGGGTCGGGTGCGGCCAGGCCCGGAGCAGCGGCTGCCAGGCTGGGAGCGGCCAGGCCCGGGGGAGCAGGCGGGTCGGGTGCGGCCAGGCCTGGAGCAGCGGCTGCCAGGCTGGGAGCGGCCAGGCCCGGAGCAGCAGCAGCCAAGTCCAGAGCAACTAGGTCGGGAGCGGCAGTGACCAGACCCGGAGCAGCTGGTTGTGGAATGAACCAGAGCAACAGAGGCCAGGCCCTGAGCAGCCAGGCCCAGAACAGCTCGCTCCTTGCCTGCCCCTGCCCCACGGCTGCTTCTCAGACATGGCTGGAAACTTTCGTGGGAACTTGAGGGTCTGCTGAATCAAGTGATGAAGGCTTAGATCTGGATGTGTTGAGTTAGTTTAGGACTGGGGTGTTGATCTGTGAGTGCCTTGGGTGGGGCCTGGATGAGGCTGGTTGACCTAGTGGGAAATGTCTTTTGTGTGAAGTGTATCATTGGGCATGTGGAGGTATTATTGATATGAGAAAATGCTAAGTAACTGATTTACTATCTGAAAAGGGATTTACTATTGGGGAAATTGAGGGAAGAAGAGACTGAACATAAACTGCACCTATGGATGAGGACAATGGGGGGTGGGGGGGGACGGAGGGTGGGGTGGGAACCTGGTGGAGGGGGGAAGAAATGAGGAACCTTTGTAATAATATGAACAATAAAGACTGATAAAAAAATAAATAAATAAAAATAAATAAATAAATTAATTAATTAATTAAAAAAAAAAAAAAAAGGGATAGGCTTCAATGAGACTTTCCAGATTTGCTAAAAAGAAATAACAAGGGTAGCCCAGCAGGTGTGGCTCAGTCGTTGAGTGTAGGCCTATGAACCAGGAGGTCACTGTTCGATTCCTGGCCAGGACACAAGCCTAGGTTGCAGGTTACATTACCAGTAGGGAGCATACAAAAGGCAGGTGATCAGTGATTCTCTCTTATTATTGATGTTTTTATCTCTATCTCCCTCGTCCTTCCTCTCTGAAATCAATACAAATATACTTTTTTTTAAATGAAAAATAAATAACAAGGATAATAACACATCAGGAAACTGGTGGCCCCTGTTCAGACCCTGGCCTCATCCCTTAGCCCAGCAGCAGCACCAGACGGCCATGTGTGATGTCTGATGGGAAAGAGGCCAGGCAGAGCTCTTACTCTTCAAAATGAAGTGACATCTGAGGAGACAACTCCAAGCTTTGCCTTCATGGGGTTAGGGGGGGAGGAGGGGACAAGGAAACAGTGGAGTTTTCACTTCACCACCTGCTGCCCCTGCAGTCGCAGGGATACCCACCTTTTGGCAGTGCGGGCAGGGGAAGTTGTGGGTGGCAGTCTGTAGGTGGTGCTCCAGGGCCTCAGGGGTAGAGTATTTGTTGACACATTTGACACATCTAAATAGGAAGGAGCAGAAGTGAGAGTAAGGTGTGGGGGGGGGGGGGGCTGGACTCACCCAGCAGGCCCAAAAATCAGCTTCTCCACTCCCCCAGAGCCAACATTAGGAGGCAACAGTCATTCCAAACCACTTGCTAATTTTTTCATATCTCTACATTTGTTAATCTTCCTGCTAGGGATGCACTCCACCTGACCCACTGCAAACCTGGCAAACTCTTACTCATCCTTCAAAACCCAGCCCAGATACCATTGCTCTGGTACACCTTCTCTACCTCCTGCAGCAGGAGCAAGCGGAGCCGGCGCCGTCAGCATGTGGGAGCGGCTGTGGCAGAGGTGGGGCTGCTGGCAGACAGGGAACTGTGGCTGAGACGGGAGGGGCTGGGCGGGGGCATGGAGGATGTGCCACAGTTCCTTTCAAGGTGCACGAATTCATGCACTGGGCCCCTAGTGTGTGTGTGTGTGTGTGTGTGTGTGTGTGTGTGTGTGTGTGTATATATATATATATATATATATATATATATATATATATATAATAGCATTTTATCACAATATATGGTAAAAATATTTATAGATTTGTCTCCCTAAGCAGCCCATGCATTCTAAACTCAAGATCTATATTTACTTGTCTCTGAACTTCAGAAGTTCACCCAGAAATTACAGCAGGGTACCATATTGGTTTTGTTTTAATCCTCACCCGAAGATATTTTTCCCACTGATTTTTAGAGAGAGTGGAAGGGAGAGAGAGAGAGACTCTGAAAGAAAGAGAGAACCATTGACGTAAGGGAGACATATCAATTGGTTGCCTCCTCGACACACCCCTACCAGGGCTGGGGAACCTGCAATCAAGGAACATGCCCTTGACTGGGAATCAAACCCATGACTTTTTGGTCCTTGGGCCAAAACTCTAACCATTGAGCAAAACTGGCTAAGACCTTACAGGTACAATTTTGTACAAAGAAGCAAAAGCCATTTAACATGAAAATCTTCACCAATGACTAGAAGGAGTCATTCTCAAACAAGTCATTGTTTTCACTAAGATCTATTCCCACATATTTCCTGAGCATTGTGAGACAGCAACACAGGACAAATGCACAGCAAAATAACTGCAGGACAAAAATGCAGTATTTCACAGTTAGAAAAAAAATACTGGATATCTGCAAATAACCCCACCAATAAAGGAGAGTTTAGAGGAGGAGCCAGAAAACAATTGAGGAAGAGAAACTCAAAAGTTAATCAAGGAATGATAGCTCCAAAGAGAATGATTTGAGGATCTAACGATTAAAAGCATATGGCAAAACTGAGAGGTTTCCATCATTCCTGCCAAAGGGGCTCTCTTTTATGACTGTAACAGAAAACTAAGGTGATGTAAAGGACAGTCAGAAAAAATAACCCCAAATAAAGTCTACACTTTAAGCATTCCTTGTTCATTCTAAGAATCAGCATATAGCTTCAACTTTAACCTAAATTTTATATATTACTAGTGGCCCAGTGCGTGAAATTCATGCACAGGGAGGAGGGGGTTCACTCAGCTCAGCCTGTACCCTCTCCAATAGGGGATCCTTTGGGGGACATCCCTCTCACAATCTGGGACCGCTGGCTTCTAACCGCTCACCTGCCTGCCTGCCTGATCACCCCTAACTGCACTGCTCTGCTGGCCTGATCTCACCCCCAACTGCCCTCCCCTGCCTGCTTGATCTCGCCCCGAATTGGCTCTGCCTGCCTGATCACCTCTAACTGCCCTCCACTGCTGACCTGATCTCGCCTCCAACTGACCTCCCCTGCTGGCCTGATTTCACCCCTAACTGCCTCTGCCTACCTCATCATCCCTAACTGTCCTTCCCTGCTGGCCCCCATCACCATAGCTTTGTCTGGAAGGAAGTCAGACGTCTGGAAGATGGCTGGTTGACCCTGTCTAATTAGCATGTTACCCTTTTATTAGCATAGATTATATAGGATAGGATTGCTTAAATAGGGGGGGGGAAGCCTTTTTCAGCAAGAGGAGATGCTCTTGGCAGACAAAAACACATAATCCCTATATCTGGACTGACAGCCAGCCATATGCACTAAACTCCCAAAGCAGTCATTAAAAATTTGAACTGCTTTCTTACACCTTACACCAAATAGCTGTTGCCCTTAAAACCCCTCCTCAGCCTCCACCTTAGGTTCTGCCTTCATAGTTTCACCCAGATTAGGTTCTGATTGGTCAGTTTCTATGACAGTCAGTGTTAAAAGCTCTGCCTGATCAACAGCTGCCACTGAGGCTGCAGATCAGACCCTACCTCTCTCTCTGCAGGCCTCTCTCAGGGCCTAATCCACAGTCCCCTCAGCAGTAGGTGCTGGGTCGCCATGGCAACCCAGCACTGACTTCCCTGTCATTACGGACTCTGCCTCTTTATATATACAGATTTAAAAACATAGAATCTTATTTTTATGATTTTTGCTTTCAAATGTGCTTATTAATTTGTTTTTTCATTCTAAGAATCTGTATACCATTCCAAATGTAACCTGAATTTTGTAGATTGTCAGACAAAATAATATTTTCACAATATTTTTAGTATAGAAAAAAATCAAATTCTTTTTCTACTGTAACAAGGAAAGACTGGCTTCCTCCTTTTTTTTTTTTTTAAAGGATCAATGCCTTCCAAGTTAAAAAAATGCTCCATAAGGAGGACTAGCATCTTTTCCCCTACCAGTCCCAAAACCAACTCTGCCAGACTGGACCCGAGCCCAGAGACTCAGTTTCCCCTCTGAGATGTCTGACAGTCCTGTGGGCGAGGAAGTGGCAGACACATACTTGTAGACCGTGCTGTCCTTCTTGGGGCTGTGCTGCGGCAGGAGGCTGTGGGAGTACTGGTGCACGCCCAGGTCATACAGGGAGGGGAAGTCCTTGCTGCAGAGGTGGCAGCGGTAGCTCAGCTCCTCCTGGTGGCTCTTGATGTGCTCCAGAAATGTGTCGAGCTTCGGGAAGGTCTGAGCGCAGCTTTTGACCACACACTTGTACACCTTGATGGAAGACGTGGAGCAGGTTAAAGGGGAGGCAGGAGAGCTGCCTTCACTGCTTCCCCCCTGCCCTGTGGCATCCACCTGGAACACTGCTGGCAAATGACCCTACTCCCCTGCTTTTATTTTGATTGGAGGGTCCTCTCCTCTCGGCCAGTCATAATGACCACACTACCCTTTTCTCAGGCTCTGGAAATACAGTAAAAAGATGACACTGTGGCCTTCCAATCTCATACTGGAGTAGTGGCTCCCCAACTTGAGCACACATGACTAACAGATTGCTGGGCGCACCCCCAGAGTGATTGAGCAGGTCTGGTGGCCTGAACATGTGCTTCCTAACAAGTACCAGGTGATGCTGGTCCAGAGACCTCACTTTGAGAACTGCTTCTAACAAGTCTACCTACGGTCATCTCTAGGGGGATGCACATTGTTTTGACTATTTACCACTGATTAGAATCCAGATTCTAAAACTCAATATTAACCTTTTCAAAATTGATCTGATATAAATGACTTTTGTCAGGTAGAAAGGATAATGCCCTGTAGGACATTAACCAGATTTGTATCTATCTTAGCAACCCTTTTTAAAAAAAATTAAATTTATTAGGGTGATATTGGTTAATATGATTATATAGGTTTCAGGTGTAGCAATCTCATTTCAGTATTCCTTTTTCCCCTGATAGTACTGTATAGGTATAAATATTAATGTCTCATAGCTTCTTTTGAACTGACTTTCTCTTTCTCATTCACCAGCCAGGCACACGAGCTCTTTCTTCCTAACAAAGTGAACCATGATTTGCTCAGAGTGGAACATGCTCAGTTAAAGGCTGGTGTGGCTCAGTTGGTTGGAGCATCATCCTGTACACCAAAAGGTGGTGGGTTTGATTCCCAGTCAGGGCACATATCCAGGTTGTGAACTCGATTCCAGGTCGGGACACATGTGGGAGGCAACAAATCGATGTTTCTCTCTCTTTCCCCCTTCCTCTCTCTCTCTTTTTAAAATATATTTTTTATTGATTTTAGAGAGGAAGAGAGAGGGAGAGATAGAAACACCAATGATGAGAGAATCATTGATTGGCTGCCTCCTGCACGTCCCCTAGTGGGGACTGAGGCTGAAACCCAGGAATATGCCCTTGACTGGAATCGAACCTGGGATCCTTTAGTCCCCAGGCCAATACTCTATCCACTGAGCCAAACCAGCTAGGGCCACTTCCTCTCTCTTAAAAAAAAATACAAAAAACATTTCAGTCTATATCCCTGTTTCCTTTGCATCTAGTGTCAGCCATATGACTCCTTTCTTTCTTTCTTTTTAAAAAATATATTTTATTGATTTTTTTACAGAGAGGAAAGGAGAGGGATAGAGAGTTAGAAACATCGATGAGAGAGAATCATCGATCAGCTGCCTCTTGCACACACCCAGGTTGCGGGTTGCATCCCAAGTGGGGGGTGTGCAGAAGGCAGCCAATCAATGATTCTTTCTCATCATTGATGTTTCTATCTCTCTTTCCCTCTCTCTTCCTTTCTCTGAAATCAATAAAAACATTTTTTTAAAAGACACAGAAAAAGATGGCCCCTTTTTGCACATAGATAAGACTGTAACTGGACCTGGAAAGAATGGCCACTGTCCCAGGACCACAGGTGAGCCATCAGCAGAGAACAGGACCACATGGTAGAGATGATGGAGATGAGCTGAAAAACAGGGTCCTTGATGCTGGGTTCAGTCAACTGACTGTTTCAGGCCTGGACCTGCTGTACCTTGGGTTTTCTTATTAAATGAGATGACAAACTTCCTAACTGTTTAAGCCAGTTTGAATAAAATGTTTCTGTGATTTGTCATCAAGGATACCCTAACTAACTTCCATCAACCCTCATCCTCGCTAGGAATCTATCATAAGAAAAAAGTCAGAGATGTGAACAAATATTTGATTACAATGATCCCACCATGGTTTTGTTTATAATAGCAAAACTCAGGAAGTAATAAATGTTTAACTATAGGGGAATTTAAAAAATGTAGCCATTAAACTATGTGTTTAAAAATAGTGATGTGAGCTACATATTTTCCACCATTTCCTTTTCTTTCTCTCTTTTCCTGTAGCCCAAAATGCAGAAAGAAAAGAAGGCTAAGGGGAAGAAGGTGGCTCCGGCCCCTGTGGTCATGAAGAAGCAGGAGGCCAAGAAGGTAAATCCCCTGTTTGAGAAAAGGCCCAAGAATTGGACAGGACATCAAGCCCAAAAGGGACCTCACCTGGTTTGTCAAATGGCCCAGCTACATTCGGCTGCAGCAGCAAAGGGTATTCTCTACACGTGTCTGAAAGTGCTATTAGCTAGTTCACTCAGGCCTTGGATCACCAAACAGCCACTCAACCGCTGAAGCTGGCCCACAACTACAGACCAGAGACAAAGCAAGAGAAGAGGCAGAGAATGATGGCTCAGGCTGAGAAAAAAGCAGCCAGCAAAGGGGATGTCCCCACCAAGAGGCCACCTATTCTGGCAGTGGGTAACACCGTCACCACCCTGCAGGGAGAGAACAGGAAGGCCCAGCTGGGGGTGACCACACCCAGTGCGATCCCATCCAGCTGTGGTCTTCCCGCCCTCTCTGTGCTGACAGACGGGGTTCCCACTGCATGGGCAAAGGGAAGCCAGGCTGGGCGTCTCGGCCACAGGAACCTACACCACTGCTGCCTTCACACAAGTTAACCTGGAAGAAAAAGGAGCTCTGGCTAAGTTGGTGGGAGCTTTCTGTTCTAAGGGGAGGCAAGGTTCTGGGTCCAAGTCAGAGGCTACCATTGCCAAGCTGGAAATGGCAAAGGCTAAAAAAACTGGCCACCAAACTGGCTATCTGCACACTGCTGGGTTTTCTGTACATAAAAGTAATAAAAACTGTCCTTCAAAAAAAAATAATAGTGACATGAGAAAATACTCAAATATAAAATTAGGTTAAAAAAATAGCACAAATCTCAAGAGAATTTATGCTGAGTCAAAAAAAGCCAATCTCAAAAGGTCACATACTGGATGACTCTATTTATACAACATTCTCAAACTGATGAACTTACAGAGACATAGAGAACTGGTCAGTGGTTTCCGGAGGTTAAGTATGTTGGGGAGGAGAAGGATGTCTAATAAGAGGCAACACAAGGGAGAGCTCTGTGGGATAAAATAGCTCTGTACTGCCAAGCAACGTGGTTCAGTAGTTGACCTATGTACCCTGAGGACACAGTTTGATTCCCGGTCAAGGCACATGCCCAGGTTGCAGACTTGATCCCCAGTAGGTGGCATGCAGGAGGCAACCGATCAATGATTCTCTCTTCCTCTCCCTTCCTTTCTCTGAAATAAAATAAAAAAATAAATAAATATAAATAAAAAATAAAAAACATTAAAAAAAAAAAACTAGAAAAGAATTACCAAATAACTCAGCAATTTCACTTCTAGGCTTATACCCAAGCCAACTGAAAACATATCTATATATATAAATAGCCAGCGATTGGAATGCCTTAACAACCGGTCACTATGATGCACATTACGGCCATCAAACCACCCGATTGAGGATTAGCCAGTGGCCAACCTCCCTCAGCCCCTCCCACTGGCCGGCCCACCCCTGATCGGCATCTTCTACCCCAATCAAGGGGGGAGGGGGTGGCCAGCCAAATCCCTAGAGACCTTTTCCCTGGGCCAGGCCGCCTCCAATTGGCCTATGGCCATTCCTCCTGGCTGGCCCAACCCCTGATCATCCCCCCTATCCCAATAGGAAGCCAGGTAGATGGGCCAACCTCCTGCAGCCCCTCCCCCAAACCAGCCCTACCCCTGATTGGTCCTCCCATCCTAATCAGGGGCAAGCAGCTGGCCAACCACCCATGGCCCCTCCCCCAGGCCGCTGGCCCCCAACTGCTCCCCCATTCGGGGGTGGGGCTGGCCAGCCGACAATCCCTCCCCACAACTGCCCCACCCCCAATCAGCCCCCCACCCTAGTCAGGGGTGGGGGCCCACCAGCCAATCGCCCTTGGACCCTCCCCCAATCACCCCCCCAATAGTGGGTGGGGCCCGCCAGTCCATCCCACAGCTTCCCCAGCCAGCTAGCCCTGATCAGCCTGATTGGGACAGGGCTGGCCAGACCCCACCTGTGCACGAATTCATGCACTGGGCCTCTAGTGTTCATATAAAAATGTGTACATGTATGTCCATAACAGCATTATTCACAAAAGCCAAAAAATAGAAATAATCCAAATGTCCATTACTCGATGAAAGGATAAACAAAATATGCTATATCCCTATAATAGAATATTATTCTACCATAAAGAGAAATAAAGTATTGGTACATGCTTAAAAACAGTATCTCAAAAGGCCACATACTATATGATTCCATTTATATTACATGTATAGGCAAATCCATAGAGATAGAAACTAGATGAGTGAGTACCAGGGTCTGGGGGCGGGGTGATTGCTAAGAGGTACAGGGTTTCTGTTTGGGATGATGAAAATATTCTGGAATTAGTATTGATGGCTGAACAACCTATGAATATATTAAAAACCACTGACCTGTACACGTTTAAAAGGGTGAATTTTATGGTATGTAAATTATATCTCAGTTAAAAAGAAAAAAGACTGTAGTCCTAAATCCCCACAGACATTTGATTTTTGCAGGGTATTAAGAATTTTTCCTGTCTCTGATTCCTTCATTATAAGATCCTTGAGAGGTGCGCTTCCTCCCTCAGCACCATAATGGCCCAGTAAGCTGGCCCCACCTAGGCAGAATGGAGGGGAAAGTTTAGCCCCATCCTGAATGGTTAGACAGTAGCTCATACTAAATGAGGCCCACCCCTGGCCCCTTTGTAGTCCATGTTCAAGACCCCAGCACCAACCAAGGCTCATGACCAGGATGGAAGTACCCTCCGACCCCCCGCTGCCCATTCGCCACCTACCTGCTCATTCTTATGCTGGGTCATGTGGGACTTGAGCTGGAAGTAAGTGCTGAACTTGCTGGGGCAGAACTGGCATAGGTAGGAGCTATCGATGAGGACCACCTGCTTGCCCTCCAGCTTCTCCCCTTCATCCTCACCTGCTGTGGGCAAGGCCTGGGGCTGTGGGGCACTCGACAGTGTTTGGCCCAACCCTATGGAGAAAGTCAGGAAGAGAAGTCACTGAGGAGGGCAGAGGAAGCATCAGGACAGAGAGACCACTCAGGAAGGATCACAGAACATCTCCTACGTGCTCCACTGTGCACACCCTCAACCACCACATGCTTCGTGTTGGACACAGTTCTCAAGGCCCTGCACTCACAACAGTTGGTGTGCACTGATACCACTCTTCCTAGTGCTAAAATACTGAAATACTTACATTCCAATTGATGCATAGCCATTGCCTCAAGTCTCCCATCCCTGACCTCCCCCTCGGACACTCCAGACCTCTCTCCATGGTTGTTAAAAATCCTGAACACAGCTCCTAGCTATACTCATCCCGCCTCCACAGCTCCTTGTTCTCATTACACTCATTTGTTTGGTTGCCCTTCCCTCACATTCTGAGGACAGGGGCCTGGCACAGAGTAGGCCTCCATAAATGTTTGCTAAATGCCTGAACCCTTGGTACTAGGCACTGTAGGAGTTTAAAAGAAATAGGAAAAAAATGGTTTCTTCTCCAAGGAAGTCACAAAGACTCCAAGTGCACACACATAGAATGGCTAAATACACAGCAGGACTAGATCCAACAGGGAGATGATAGAAAGTGGCCATGTGCTTTTTGCACAGCAAAAACACCCCTGCATTAGCTGGCACGTGGCAGGTGTTGCTCACCCATGGGGCTACACAGGACAGCCCCAGCCTTACATTGTCCCATACAATGGCAAAGAGCCACATGGGGCAACTGAGAACTCAAAATCTGGCTCGTCCCAATCCAGATGTGCTATAAATGTAAATGGATTTTGGAAACTTAGCATAAAAAAGAATATAAAATATCTCATTAATAATTTCTTTATATTACATGCTAAAATGACAATATTAATATATTAGATTAAATAAAATATATGATTAACATTAACTTCACCTTTTTATATTTTTTTAAAAGACAGATTATTAATCTTTTATTATTATACCACGTAACAGTGGAATAAATTATTTAGAGTTAGCACATGTACGTGTATGGGAATTAGGATGGTCAGTGGTGGTTTAGATTAAATACACAGAACTTTGTTTTTTAATCACCCTCCCTTTTTTTTTTTTTTCCTTTAGAGTAGTCCTAGAGCATCAATCAATGTTGGGTGGTTTCTTCCAGCAAGTCCTTTGCTTCATTTATACTGGTTGCTAAGTTCGGAGATCCACCTGTATCTGCATGATTCAAAATCATGATTCTCCTGAGAGCTGTTCTAATCTTGGCCTTGTCAGCAGATAGGTTTACACCCAAAATAAGACTAGCTTCTCGCCTCCCCATTTTCTGTTCAAATCCTCCTTTATAGTAGGATAAAGGCTAGGAGCTGAAATCTTCTTTGTAGTTTCTATGATTACTTGTTCCAGAAGTTTCCAGATATGAAATACATAGCAACTTGCAAGTGCAAAAGCTGCACCACCCAGTCCTAAGCTATCAGGCTTCTTGCCAGGCCCCAGTCCATGTCCCCGTCAGGCTGTTTGGTCAAGGGCGGCGAGTACTTGGCGTGGTAGAGGCCCTCGCTGGAGGGGGCGACACCACCGAAGGCAGCCATGGCGAAGCGCCCAGGAAGACTGGCTTTTTATATTATTTTTATGTAGCTGTTAGGAAATTTCAAAAGGCATGTGTTGCTCATATTATATTTTTCCTGGACAGTGTTGCTCTAATTAAACCAATATTAAGGAAAAGGTCATTAGCTCAGGGACAGGTGATGGCTTTGATGACAACTTTACAATCTATAAAGACCTTTGGAGATCACCTGACCATAGAGGCCAAATAGATTTCAATTTCAGATAAACTGAGAGTAACTGCCTAGAGCCATCTATTGAAAATAGATTCTGAGGTGTATCCAAACTCAGCAAAATGATAGGTGATTGGTTAGTGATGTTTGTCATGGCTACAGCCATGTTTGTCATGGCTACATTAGAGTAACACCACACAAATGGTATATTTGTTATCCCTCCTTTCATCTTACGCCCACTTTATAACTGAAGTAGACTGAAGCCCAACGAGGTCAAGGAGGTCGCCCAAAGCCATGCGGAAACGAAACCCATGAAGCTGCAGAGGAGAGGTGGGGAGAGTGGCGCTCCCCCCTTCAACCCACCTGTGCTTTCCTCGTCCTCCTGTCGGCTGGGGTTCAGGGCCATGATCTGCACAGTCACAGAGTTGCGTGAGATGGTGCTACCACTGCGCCCTGGAGGCCACACCTTGTGAGTCTGCATGTGTTTCTTGACATTAGACTTCTGGGCAAAGGCGCGGCCACATGCAATGCACTGGAAGGGTTTCTCACCAGTGTGGCTGCAGGAAACAAGGCTTGTCAGCAACCTTGTGTAGGAATCGAGATGTGACCTCAACCCGGGAGCTCATGGCCACCAGGAAGCCCAGATAGAACATCTAGATGTTGCTGGCAACCATTCTGACACCATAAGGACAAGCCCGCTTGCTAGGCAGGCAGACCAGACAGAAAGACCCTGTGCTCTTGGTGGCATTACTGAGCTGCTGAACCAACCAGCTCTGGAGCTAACTTTCTTCATGACCATCTTATACTGTTGAGATGAAACATTTTCTAACTATTTAAGCCCATTTAAATAGAGATTTCTGCTATTTGAAGGAGAAACTATCCTAGCTATCACAGCACAGCACTTGTATCATTATTTACTATTTTCCTTCAAATAAATCCTACATTTAAAAAAAAAAATACGTTTTTACTGATTTTAGAGAAAGGGAGGGGGAGAGAGAGAGAGAGAGAGAGAGAGAGAGAGAGAGAGAGAGAGAAACATTGATGTGAGAAATATCAGTCAGCTGCCTCCTGTATGCACCCGACCAAAGTTTGAACCTGAACCTGGGCATGCCCTGACCAGGAACTGAACTGGTGAATTTTTGGTGCACAGGACAACACTCAAACAACTGAGCCACACCAGCCAGGGCCAATTCTATGTTTTATTTTATTATTATTATTATTATTATTATTATTATTATTTTTAATTACATACATGTTATTTTCAAAACTTGAATGTCAAGAGCAAAACTCTGGCTATTAAATAATAACAACAATGCCAATGCAAAACAACAAAATGAGAAATCAGAATTGTGGACATATTAATATTTTTAGCTACTAAATGAGTCTCTTTTGTTGCTGGTGTAGATTTACTCAGAGTCCTTGGACTTGCTGCACAAGACTTTGCAGAAGACTGGAAGCTAACAGATGCTAGCATGAGCAATTCTATGTTTTAAAACTTAAAATATTTTAAGATGAAGCTTCCACTTGTTATTGTATACAGAAAATCATTGTCATAAATATGAAGTAACCGAAAAGCAATAATTTATAAAATGATCTAGAACTGCATTGACCAATAAGGTAGGCATAAACCACATGGACTATTTAAATTTAAATTCATTAAAATAAAAATTTCTATTTCTCAATCATACTAGCCACATTTCAAGTGCTCAATAGTCTTTTATGGTAGTGGTACCCCATTAGACAGTGCCGTTTTGGGCATTTCCACCAGAAAGTTCTACTGGACAGCACCGGTAAAGACCAGTAGAGACCAGTGATTCTCTAATGCGATTGATTTTGCCCTTCACAGAACATTTGGCAATATTTGGAGACGCTTTTGTTTGTCACACCTGAGAAATGAGGAATGCTATTGTCATTTAATAGTTATAGGTTAGGCCCTAGCTGATTTGGCTCAGTGTCAGCCTGTAAACTCAAGGGTCCTGGGTTCAATTCCAGTCAAGGGCACATGCCCAGGTTGCAGGCTCAATCCCCAGTAGGGGGCATGCAGGAGGCAGCCAATCCATGATTCTCTTTCATCACTGATGTTTCTCTCTCTCTCTTCCTGTCACTTCCTCTCTAAAATTAAAAAAATACATATATATATTAAAAAAAAAAAAAAAAAAAAAAAAACATGAGCTAACACATGACAGGTATTAGGAAAGACTAGCATCAAATTGAGGCTTTCTCCTTTGACTCTCCAAGAACTGAAATGGAAGAAAATAATATTTTCACTATGTCTTTAAGAACTTTTAGAAACCATGTCCAAGAACCACCTAAAATCATCTCCTGTACCAATTACCCCAGTCTGAGAAACACTGAACAAGTCCCCCCTTCTACTTCACAGAAGAAAGACCTGCGGACCAGAGGGGTTCCTATATGTTCTTGGAACAAGAGATATTGTGGTTAGTCCCGAGTGAGCAGTAGTCATATTCGCAGAGCATGGCAGCCCGAGGCCAGCCCTTTCTGCAGAGGCAAGGACTGGGGCACCACCCCTCATGCCTGCAAAGCCTCTTTCCGTTCAGATCCACTTCTCCCCTACCTCACCCCACTTGGACCTTCCCCATCATAGTGGGCAGGCCCCACAGTGTTCACAGACTTCCATTATTCCTGGAAGAGAAGAAGGAAAATCATCCTGACCTGGACTGAAGTTCTGAGAATCATGACAGGACAGATGGGGCCTCGAACATCACCCAGGCTAGGAGGCTGGGAAGGGACCCTTGCTTCCACAGCAGATGGCTCCCCAGGAGCCACCTGACCCACCAGCCTGGGTACCTTCGGATGTGCTGCTGCAGGTCGAAGTTTTTGGTGAATGACTTGTCACAGTATGAGCACTTGAGTTTCTGAGCCTTTGGCTTCCCTGCAGCTGAAAGAAAGTGGGAGGAGCGAGATGGTGAGGCTGGGGGTAAAACTATGGGTGCCGTGAGCAGCTGCCAGCCACTCCGCTCCCGGGGCCTACGGCCAGAAATCCCAGAGCCTGGGATCTCCTCATGCACCGGCAGGGGAAGAGGCACAGGTGAGCCTCCGGAGTTCTGGCGGGAGAAAGCCTAGGACATGCTGGGCCTGGGAGCAGGACAAACCCCCTCAGAGGCTCCCTCTGCCTTAGGATAAAATCCGACCTCTCTGCTGTGACCCACAGGGCTCTGCCTTCTCTGCTTCCTGCCAACCTCATTGTTCTCCCCATCTAGCTACAGCAGACTCCTTGCTAACCTTGAAAGACCTCAAACAAGATCCCACCTCAGGACCTTTGAACCTCCTGGCCCCCCTTACCTGGTTCCCTTGTTCTCAAGGCTGTTTCCTTCTCATTCCCAGATGGATAGGTCGCATTAGTACCCCATTAATCTCCTTCCTAGAGTAACCCATAAATATTTATTTATTCCCTGACTGTCTTTTCCATTAAACTGCGATAACTGTGGGTAGGGAAATCCTGGAACAAGATGCTAGATCCCCAGTGCCTGACATCAAACTCAACATATATTTGTGAAAGAAAGGCAGTGTGGAAATAGCTGACTGGAAGATCCTGAAAATTTCTCAATTTCTCTGTCCTTCTTATCCGCCAGCATTTTCTGACTCTGCTTCCAACCAGTACCAGTGGCAGACATTATTTCTTATCTGTCTAATCTCCATTCTCCCGTTCTTCTTTCCTCACAGGTGCTCTACCTATGGGGAACATTTCCCAGCTTCCTTTGCTGCTAGATATGCTCATGTGACTAAGTTCTGACCAATGAGATGCAAGCAAAAGCATCATGCAGAACTGCTAGAAGCTGGCAGATGGCCCTTTTTTTCCTTCTTACTTCTTAGAATATGAAATTAATGAGCTCTAGTAACCATCTTACATAACAAGGCAGCCTGATAACAGAAGCCACGCACCAGGGATGGCAGAGCAGAAAGATAGAGGAAATGTGGGTTTCTGGTGACCATACAGGCACACAATCTCCTGATTGCTACCTCTGGCCTTGATTTGCACAGGAGAAAAAATTCTATCATTTTGAAGTCACTCTTATTTTGGATTTTTCATTACATGCAAACAAACTTAATTCTAATCATCATAAAAGGGAAGACTAGAACTAAGCAGCCTGTGGACAGGCCAATGCTGAGGAAAGATGCTCAGGCTGTGGGCCCACCTTCTGGGAGTCCACTGGCACCCTTGGCCCGTCGAGTCTTCAGCGCTGGAGGGGAGTCAAAGGTGGCCACCGTGCCCCCAGTGGCGTTGGTCATGGGGGCAGCGGGGTTGGGTCCTTTTGGTTTGAATCCCTGTTTGCCGGGGCTGTACACTGGGGGTGCGGGGTATACTGGAGCCTCCACACACTGGTTTGGCACCTAGAAGGACAGCAGAATCAGGGAGAGAGCTCTGGGATGGGAAGGGGAAACCATCCCAGCCAGGAGGACCCTCACAGTGGCCCTGGCTGATTTCAGCCACTCCCCACCTACAGCGCCATCCTAATTCCCCACCTAGCTCAGCCACCCGTCACTCCCCAAACCCTTTTGAACTTCATGAAGTCAGAAGGTTAGAAGCAGCTTTGGAGCCAGGTTGCTTGGGTTCAAATCCTGACTCTTAACATTGATTTGAAAACACACACACACACACACACACACACACAAAACCCTAAGAGATCTCGGGCAAGTCTTTAAACTTCTCTGTCTCAGTTCTCACATCTGTAAAATGAGGCTAATCATAGTACCCCTCTCATCGGGTTGTTGTGTGGATTAAATGAACTAATAAGAGTTTAGAATAGTGCCTAAAATATAGTTAAGTACTCAATAAACATTACCTATTGTTATCGCCACTATTATTATTATTATTGTAGCTTGTTGAAAAGAAACAGGAAGTCAGAAAGGTGTGTACCCCCCAGCTACTCCACTTCTTTTTATTTTTTGTTAATCCTCTCCCGAGGATATTTTCCCATTGATTTTTAGAGTGGAAGGGAGTGGAGAGAGAGAGAGAGAGAGAGAGAGAGAGAGAGAGAGAGAGAGAGAGAGAGAGAGAGAAACACTGATGTGAGAGAGACAGATCAATTGGTTGCTTCCCTGCAACTGAGGTATGTGTCCTTGACTAGAATCTAATCCATGACCCGTCAGTCGGCTGGCCGCCGCTCTATCCACTGAGCCAAACCAGCTGGGGCTGCTACTCCACTTTGTAAGTAACCCTGTGAGACACCACACCAGCAGGCATCCCTCAACCAAGAATTGACATTGAAATCACAAGAAATTAGCTAATGAATTCTGAGCCATTCGAACTTAGTTTAACATCATGACATTCGTGCATTGTGGGAAGCTTGGAACCACAGTCCTAGACTACCTTGCCAGCACAGTTCTGAACACAGATTGGGTTCTGCTCACAAGAAGCATGACATGTGGAAGGCAGAAGGGAGACAGAAACCACTCTCCGGCAGCTGTGTTGAGTCAGGTGGATTCAGTCATGAGCTGTGCAGTAGCTGACTGAACTCTACATCTCCTTCCTGACAACCAGCCCCAAGGACAGCAGGGCAACCGAACAACCACAAGGCATCCTACAGTTTCCTCAGCTCTGGGTGCAGCAGCCATGCCCTGGCTCTCTGGGCCAAGCCACAACAGAGAATCTGAAAACCAGTTATGCTCGCCACCCCTGACTTTCGCTTCCCTAGCCCTTCCATCAGCTTTCTAAGCACCTAAGTTCTTGCATTTAATCCTTCTGCCAGAAACTCCTAGAGTGGTTTCTATTTTCCTGGCCAATACTACACTCAACAAATATCTGTCACGTGAATGAATTCACCCATCATTCAAGTTACTCTTGAGCAATTATGTGACTGCCACTGGGTGAGCTCTCATTATCCTCAACAGCTCTGCCAGGGGAGTTCCTATTTTAGAGAAGAAACTGAACTCAGAGAGTCCTATTTCAAATACCTACTATAGGCCAGGTACTCTGTCAAGTGCTAAGGATGCAAAAATCAAAGACTCAGGCACCAACCTCAAAGACTACGCAATTCTACATGGAAAATAAAAAGTGGCAGCTCCCCCTGTACTGGCCCCTCTGCCTACCAGGCCACCACTATCCTCTAAGCATCTTACTGACTTAACTTTCCCTTTTTAATTCAACAAAGTCCCAGTCTAGAGCAAACCTTCTTGCAGGCTCTCATAACATCACATGAATCCCTGTTTGAATCCCTGTTTGCCGGGGCTGGCTGGAGGAAGAATTTCCCCACTTGTCTGGTTCTCCTTACGTATAGATGCCATCTGACATGGAATGTCTGTCTGTACGAATGACTCCAAGGTGACTGCGATAATGTGACCTCAAATGCAGGCAGGCTCTTTGTCATAACCATGCCCCTAGCACTGGTGTCTAGGAAGATTCTGAACTCTTATCACCTTGACAGTAGACTGCTTATAGCCCAGAAGAGCCCTTCAGCAGGGAGTTAGTATGGCTTATATGGTGTATTGATTGCATAATGGCCTCAATTCTTTACCTCTCCCTGTGCCCAGGCTCTTTACAATGTGACTTTGCAGATTTTCCTATTAAGAGATGGCATCTATTTCCTTATTTATTTTTTTTAATATGTGTTTATTGATTTTTAGAGAGAAAGGGAAGGGAATAGAGAGCTAGAAACATGGATGAGAGAGAAACATCCCTTATTTGGCATGTGCCTGACCGGGAATTGAACCAGCGACCTCTTGGTTTATGGATCAACGTTCAGCCCCTGAGCCACCCTGGCAGGGCTTCCATATTTCTTAAATCTAAGCTGGCCTTAGACCTGCTTTGAACAATAGAAGTGACACTGTGCTACAAGCCTAAGCCTCAAGAAGCCTTGAGCATTTCTGCCTGCATTACTGCATCTCTACCATTGTTTGACTAACCCGCTGGCTAATGAAAAATGCATGGAGCAGAGCTGAGTGACCTCACTCATCCCACCCCAGGCCGTGATAGAGCAGCCGACAGCCAGCCAACCTCTGACACGGGGGAGCCCGGCCAAGATCAGCAGAGTGGCCACACTGACCACAATAGAAATGAGAACAAGAAATGGTTTTTCCTATTTGCCACTGAAGCTTTGCAGGTATTTCTTACAGAACCATAGCTAACTAATATATCTTGCTAGTTTTTTTTTTTTTAAAGATACACATAGATACTTTTTGGAATCATCTCCCCAACAAACAGGTAATCTCTGACTGTTCCGAGCACTCCCTGAGGGCTGCTTGCATGCTACACCCTCTATTTCACACTGCCTTTTCATGGTTTGCATTTTACATTTACAGCAGGATGACCTGATTAAAGTCCCTCTCTCCCCTGAGGTGGTACACAACATGGTCTGGCTTTGCAACCACCACCAGGGTATCTCCAGCAGAGTCTGGCACACATTTGGTGCTTAGGAAAGGTCTGGGTTACCCATAATGACCATGACCAGTTTCCCCCCTCCACCCCAAACCCCACCTCTGCTCACCTCCAGGGGTGGGTAGGCCTGCATTCCCAATGCCTGGATCTCCACTGTCCCGCTTCCAGCCAGGGGTGCCGTGGCGCTGTACACCTCCACCACGCCATTCCCACCAGGGTTGGAACACCCGGCGGGGCCCAGGCTCTGAGGTGGTGGGGGTGGAGGTTGAGGGGGTGGGGGTGGGGGCAGTGGCGGAGGGGGTTGCGGGGGTGGTGGAGGCTGGGTGAGGTAGCTGGGCGCAGAATGCATGTTCAGGCTGCTCTGAAATCAGAAGAAAAAATTAGTGTCATAGTCTCTTGACACCAGCTCTCTTGTTTGTCAGTGAGGAAGGACATTTGCCTTAGCTCTGTGGGAAGAACGGCCACCCCCAGGCAGCGCAGAGGACAATGCTGAGAGGGGGCTTGGAAAGGAAGTTGTGTGAGAATTCAGAGGAGCCATCAGCTAGGCACTTTCCTTTGAGAAGGTCAGCAAAAATGGCCCAGTTTGTGCAGGAATGAGTTCACACCAGCAGGCCGAGGGTTGCTGTCTTTAGAAAGGCTTACTTATAGGACTGCTCTTCACTGGCATCTGAGAACCTGCCTTGTAGAAGGTTCCCTATGTTGATAAGGCTCTTTTGCCCAACTGGGGCAACCATACTGTGTCAACTCACCTAGACTGTCTGCACAGACAATGTGATTTATGGTGAACACTTCCTTACCATCTGGGCGTCTAGAGTTTTTATCATCATGGCTGGATATCTGTGACCAATCCCCAATAAAAGCCTGAGACTCAGAGTCTTAGGTGTGCTTCCCTGGGCAGAAACACTGCACACGTGTTGCTGCTCTCATTGCTGGAGGAATAAGTGTGCTTTGTGCAGCCTCTCCCTGATCCCCCAAGGAGAAGAACTTTGGAAACCTACACCTGGACTCCTCTGGACTCCGGCTGATGTGCTTTTTTCCCTTCTGACCCTGCTACGTATCCTTTGCTGTAATAAACCACGGCCATGAGTACAATCACCCTAATCCTGGGATTCTTTCTAGGGAGTCACCACACGGGTGGGTGGCTATGGACCCCTGAAACACAGCCATGGATTCAAAAATTTATTCTACAAAAATAATCAAGCAGGTGGACAAAGATATCTACACATGGATGCTATTCCAGCTGTTGTGTGTGTGTGTGTGTGTGTGTGTGTGTGTGTGTGTGTGTGTGTTAAAAAAGTATTTTATTGATTTTTTATAAAGAGGAAGGAAGAGAGATAATTAGAAACATCAATGAGAGAGAAACATTGATCATCTGCCTCCTGCACCCACTGGGGATGTGCCCACAACCAAGGAACATGCCTTTGACTGGAATCGAACCTGGGACCTTTCAGTCCACACATCGATGCTCTATCCACAGAGCCAAACCGGTTTTGGCACTTGAGCCGTTTTTATGACAGCAAAAGGTGGCAACAACCTACATGTCCATCCACAGAAGCCTGGCTAAGTAGAGAGTGACCCATCACACGATGGAATCCTTTACATCTGTTAAAACGATGATGCTGAGCAGTATTTAAAAGGGTGCTCCTTTTAACTGCTCTTCCTTGGGTTTCACAGTCAACTACATTTTGGGGAAAATCTGGGATGACAGAATCAAAAGCATTTCTTTACTGCAGGAAAAAATAAATAAATAAATAAATAAATAAATAAATAAATAAATAAATAAATAAAAAAGCAAAACAGGGACTAAGCAAGGGAGGAAGTAGAATGCCTCCACGTTAGGCTGGTTTGACCGGGGATCCTCATTATATTGGAAAATCCCAGGGAGCCAGTATTCCAATGAACTCTTTGGGAAATACTGATGTACAGTTATAGGCATAGAGAATGAGGTTAAACAAAAGGCAGAGTAAGAAAATTCCAGAACTGTGCATATAACATGACCCATTTATAAAGGTGTATATATTATAAATGGTTTTTTTAAACTTATTTCTAATTTTATTTGTATTCAATGTCAGGAAAGCCAAAATTCTGATAGTGCTTTCTTTGAGTGGAGAGAATATGAGTGAGTGATTGATTGATTTCCCAATTTTTATCCTGAAAAATTCCCAACTTAGAGAAAGATTGCAAAAATAATACATTGAGCCTTTCTGATTTGGCTCAGTATATAGAGCAGCAGCCTACAGACTGAAGGGTTTGATTTTGGTCAAGGGCATGTACCTCAATTGCAGGTTCAATCCCTGGCCCTGGTTGGGGCACAGGCAGGAGACAACCACTCAATGTGTCTCTCTCACCGTTGATGATTCTATCTCTCTCCTTCCCTCTCCCTTCCTCTCTGATATCAATAAAAAATATATATTTTTTTAAAAAAACCTCTATTAAAAAATATATTGAACACTTTTCATACTTAATTCACTCAGTTATTACACACATATATCTGCTGTTTCAAGCCACCTGAGAATTAGCTACATACATTATAACACTTTGTTCCTCAAAACTATACTCAGATACATCTCCTAAAAACAAGGATATTCTCCTATATAACCAAAATTCAATCATCAGACTCAGGAATCTATCTTTATAAAAGCCTAAGCGATCCTTATGACTGAATGATAGGTCGACTGTTCACTATGACGGGCACTGACCACCAGGGGGCAGATGTTCAATGCAGGAGCTGCCCCCTGGTGGTCCATGTGCTCCCACAGCCAACCTCCCACAGCAGGTTGGCCCCGATAGATCCACCCGTGCACAAATTCATGCTCCGGACCTCTAGTTGGATGTAAATTTAATACTATTATCTAAAATATTCAAATTCCGCCAAATCCGGTTTGGCTCAGTGGATAGAGCGTTGGCCTGCGGACTGAAGGGTCCCAGGTTTGATTCCGGTCAAGGGCATGTACCTTGGTTGTGGGCACATCCCCAGTAGGGGGTGTGCAAGAGGCAGCTGATAGATGATTCTCTTTCATTGATGTTTCTAATTCTCTATCCCTCTCTCTTCCTCTCTATAAAAAATCAATAAAATATATTTTTAAATAAATAAATAAAATATTCAAATTCCTTTATATTCTAATTTTCCCAATAATGCCTTTATAGCTCCACCCCACACAACCCAGGATCTAGCCAAGAAATGCACATTGCAGTCAGTTACCATTATCACTTTACTTTCCAGATTATGAATAATTTTTTTTTTTTACTTTTCTTGAGTATTTTCTAATGGGCATGGAACACTTTTGTTAAGAATAAAAACATGAATCAAAATAGCTGGACTGTGGCTATGAAATTCCAAAGTCACATTCTGGGTCCCCATTAATGTGGCAGCCTTCCCACCCACAGGGCTGGGTGAGGGGAGGCTGGCTGTCTTCCTCAGCATGGGGGAGAGCTGGGGCCAGGCCCCCTTCTTTCTATAAGATTCTGAATCTTCAGGAGTCAACATGCAGCCCTGGAATAAGATCCTGTGAAAAGTTAGCCCCCTTCTTACCTGCACAGGCGGGGGGCCCTGGGGCATCGGTTGGTCCAGGGATGTGAAAGCTGACATGGCAGACATGAGCACATCATCGCTCACCAGGATGTTCCCCTGCACCAAGGTCTGGATCAGCGGGGATGGGGGCACTGTGATATACGTGGAGATCTGGGGTGGGAGGGAGGGAGGGAGAGAGGGAGAAAGAGAAGCATGAACATGTGTGAGGCTCTGGAAAGAAGCAGAGAGCAGGATACAAAAGATCTGGGTTCTGAAGTCCCACAGAACTAAATTCCATTTCCACCTCTGATGCTCCCTGCTGCTGTGTGATCCTGAGCAAGTCACTCCACCTCTCTGAACCTCCATTTCCCTATCTATCAAATGAGAGAAGTAAGTCATATCTCCCTGTAAGGCATATAACCTATGACCCAGAAATAACACTTCCGGCATCAATCCTAGAGAAGCACACATGTCCACAGGAAGTTCATGAACATGAGTATTCTGCACAGTGTTGTTTCTTTTAATTCAATGGATTAAAAAGTACAATACAGTCATGAGTAGAATACTATACAGCAGATAAAAAAATATTGCATAAAAAATCAAATTATATAATAACACGTACATTATGTACTTTTATTTTTAAAAATAGAAAATAAGCCGAAGCCGTTTTGGCTCAGTGGTAGAGCATCAGTCTGCAAACTGAAAGGTCCCTGGTTCAATTCCGGCCAGGGGCATGTACACTGGTTGCGGGCACATCCCCGGTAGGGGTGCGCAAGAGGCAGCTGGTCGATGTTTCTCTCTCATTGACATTTCTAGCTCTCTATCTCTCTCCCTTCCTCTCTGTAAAAAAATCAATAAAATATATTTTTTTAAAAGAAAAAGAAAAGAATATTATTATATAATTCAAAGAATACAATTCAAAGAATACTTAAATAAATATGCCAATGTATCTTAAAAGGTTGAGGAGAATACCTATCAGTTGTTAGCTGGGGACAAGGGAGAGGAATAGTGCCAAAGAGGCCTTGACTTGTAACATTTTTTTAAAATATATTTTATTGATTTTATACAGAGAGGAAGGGAGAGAGATAGAGAGTTAGAAACATCGATGAGAGAGAGTCATCGATCAGCTGCCTCTTGTACACCCCCCACTGGGGATATGCCCGCAACCAAGGTATATGCCCTTGACCGGAATCGAACCCGGCACCCCTCAGTCCCCAAGCCAACGCTCTATCCACTGAGCCAAACCGGTCTCGGCTTGTAACATTTTTTTACAAAGAAGGGAAACATGTATTGCTTTCAAACAAGAGAATGAACAATAAAAATAATAATATGCTCTCAGATCAGCAGTGAGGATGAGAGGCAGATCTTATAAGAGAGTGTCAAACCTGCCGTGGCTGCTCCTGTTAGTAGATGGAAAGGATATTGTGTTTTGTTTACCTGCTGCTTTTCTTTTCTAATTTTTATTTATTGATCTGAGGGAGAGAGAAAGAAACATCAATTTGTTGCTTCACTTACTTATGCATTCTTTGGTTGATTTTAGTATGTGCTCTGACTGGGGATCAAACCTTTGTATCAGGATGACACTCTAACCAACTGAGCTACCTGTCAGGCCAATTGTTGGTGTTCTGAAGTTATTTTCTCTGCCCAAGACTGAAAGAATTTTCCCTTTCCTTTTATTGGGGGGGGGGGGGGGGGAGGTGTGTGTGGGGGATATTTTCTGATAACTAAACTCATATTCAAAGAATAAGAAAAAAAACTGTGTTCAGTGTTTTATGTCTGTAGCAACTTGAAAAATTTCAATCTACATGTCCTGTGGGCTTGGGCATGAAGGCTTTCATTTTGATGACAAGAATTACGACTACTACAAGGAAGGAAGATAATATTTTAAAGAAATGAGGAGGAAGTCAGGGAATTTGGACTCCTTGACCTGGCATCCTGAGACATGCCCAGCTCCCTTTATGAAGATTCTTTAAGCCCTAAGGCAGCGGTCGCCAATCTTTCAGACCTCACAGACCACCAGGGGTCTGCGGACCACCGGTTGGTGACCACTGCCTTAAGGAATCCCACCCTGGGTGTCTTTGCTCCAGACTGTGTACCTGACTGAGGACTCTAGAAGCTTCTCCAGACACCTCCAGCCTGGCCCTCTCCCCTGACCTCCAGAGTCCTGTATCTGTCTGCATCTGCACAGCAGCCTCCACATAAAAGTCTAATGGGCATCTCAAATCCAACATGTCCAGCTGTATTCCTAACATCCCCTCCACTCTTCTCCTAGCCGTTTCCCCATGTTGGCTAATGGCAACTCCAACTCTGGGGTCACCCTTGACTCCTCTTGACCTCACACCTCACATTCAATTTATCCACAAGCTCTTCAAAATAATCTCATCCTTCTCATGACCTCTACCACTACCACCCTGATCAAGCCACCACCCTCTGCCTGGATTTGTACAACAGTCTCCTATTGTACAATGGTACAATATAGTCATGTATATTGACTCTGGCTTTCTCTCTTGACTGCCATTAAACTCTGTTCTCTCTACAGCATCCAGTTGACCTAAAGTGTAAATCAGACCTTATCCCTCTTTTGCTCAAAACCCGCCCCCCCCCATGGCTCCTATTTCTCAGAATAAAAATCCACAAGTCCCACATGATCTACCAAAATCCCCTGTTTGCCTCTCTGAGCTTATCATCTCCAACCCTCCTCCTCACTCATTCAGATCCAGCCACTCTCACCTCCTTGCTGTTCCCAGCACACAAATGCCTCAGGGCCTTTGCACTTGCTGACCACATATCCTGGAATACTCTTCCCCAAAATGGTTGCTAGATTCATTCTCTCATCTCTGCTCAAATGTCAATTCTTCACAGAGCCTACCCCAAGCACCATATACAAAAATGGCAAAAAACTCCTACCCTTGTCAGGGCATCCTCTATCCCTCTGCATTTAACATCCTGAAAAAAGTATATCTCTACAAATCTGTTTGGGTGCTGTCTGTCTCCCTCAAATCCATGAGGGCAGTGACTTGGTCTGTTTGTCCATAACCACAGTACCCCTAACGCCTACACAGTGCCTGACACACAGTGGGTACTCACCCCCCCCCCCAAACCTTGCTGAATGGATGAATAAAGAATTGGATGGATACCTGGCGATTCGTCGGAGGTGGGGCCTGCGGGACTGCTGTGGGTGCTGCGGAAGGCGTGTAGATGCTGTTGGTGGCCAGTGACACTGTGGCCAGGGGCGGGGCATTCCCCTGGCACTGTTCCCGCTTGTGCGTCATAAACGCCGGCAGTGAGTTGAACTGCTTCTTACACTTCCCGCAGAGAAAGACGTCCTCATCACCTAGGGGTCACACCACACAGCAGCAGGAGGAGAAAAACAAAAGAAAAGCAATAAAGGAGCAGGTATTACAGTGAGAAATGGGAGGAGACCGGCATCTGGGCCCGGAGGACAGCAGCTCTAACAGCATTCTGTGGGTGCATGTGCATGAGTCAAGTGCCAATTCTGTGCTTCCTATCGATAGGAGCTTTCAAAACCACCTAGGCACCAACAGGAGGATGCCCGTTGTGCACGAAGGTATCAAAAAATTAGATTCAGGAAACAGTAAAGAGGGTTCGCTTCAAAGTTGAGAACTTCAGAATCTTTACCCTGCCTCAGTTTATTCATCAGCTGCCAAATGGGTCACATGATCACACTCCTCTGTGGCTTTGCATCCAGTTTTCACCTGTCAAGCTGCCTCACTCAGGCCAACTCATTCTACGAGGCTCAGCTCAGCTGTCACTTCCTCTAGGAAGCTTTCCTAAAGCAGCTTTAGGAAATGTCTCCTATCACACATTTCTCATCACCACCAGACTGCGAGACCCCATGGGAAAAAACATGTCTTACTTTTCACCGTAAGTACAGTATCTCCTGGGCACATAGGAGGCCCTCAGTGGATGTTTGCTGAATGAATTAAAAACTAAATGAATGATTAGCTACTTAACACAACCCATGACTGAGGGCCTACCACAGGCCACTCACTGTGCTAAGCACTTGGCATGTTGTGGCAGAAATGCCAACTTGTCATTCAATATTCACTTCCAATACAAATTGCAGCGTGAAACATGGCTGTCTAGTTAAAGACTGTATTTCCCAGCCTTCTTTGCAGCTAGATATGTCATGTGACCTACTGAACTCTGATCAATAGGATAAGACCAGAGGTATAGTGTCTATGCAACTTCTCCTTAAAAGGAAGGAGTATGACTTACACTTCCATCTTTCTTCCTGTCATGTTGGCTGGAATGTGGAAATGAAAGTGAGAGGCTGGAGCAACCATCCTAGGCAGCATGTTGAGGATAGTACAGCCACAAGAAAGGAATCTGGGTCTCACCACGTCCACTCCAAATGCCCATCACTACTCCATATAACAGAAAAATAAACTTTAATCTTGTATAAACTAAAACAGGTAGAATAAAATGTTCCCCAAAATTGTTCGACTGAGTTAGTCAAGCCAGAACCATGGCAGTTATTAATAGATAGCTATAGAACAATGGCCCAGGAATTAACCTGACTTCTCTTATCATTTTTGTTGTTGTTGTGGAGGATACTCTCTCCATAGGTTTTCAGAGGGAGTGAAAGGGAGGAAAGAAGGGAGAGAAAGAGAGAGAGAAACATGGATGTGAGAGAGAAACATTGACCGATTGCCTCCTGCACACACCTGATCTGGGGTGGGAAATGAACCTGCAACCCAGGTATGTGCCCTCAACCGGGAGTCAAACCTAAACCCTCAGTGCATGTGCCAATGCTCCAACCACTGAGCAACCTCGGCCAGGACTAACCTGACTTCTTTTAAGTTGTTTTTTAGATTTAAAGCCAAGCCACAAACCCTAGAGACAAACTCAATACCTGGTTGGAAAAGTCCCTTCCTGCATCCCAGAGTAAGACTTGCACAATCCCAGAATGCCTTGCTTTACTGACACGTACTCAGACTTCAGTGGGACCCCAGCATTCCTACAGAGGAGAAAGCCAGCCAACCTACACTATGGTCGGTTAACCCCTGAAACTTCTGTGTTCCCAGGAATAAAACTCCCTACGCCCCACATTTGGTGTGCAGAACCTGGGACCCTCTCTCAGTGTTCTTACCCCTGCAGAGCCTCAGTAAATCTGCCTTTGCTTTTATCAGCGTTCCTGGTCTAAATTCTCTTATATCAGGAGATAAGGACACAAAATCATTGATAACAAAACCACAAGAAACTTGCATTTCTTATTTATAACAGCTACAAAAATATCCCAAGTATCCTCACAAGATTCCTATGAGATAGGACTATTATCCCCATCTCACAGCTGTGAAAACTCGGACACAGAGAGGTTAACTCACTTGCCCAAAGACACAGAGCCGAGAACAAGGATTCAAACCCAGCTGTATATCTTCCCAACATGGCTCCCAAGCACTCAAATATGTTTGTGGAATAAATAACTGAACACAGACTCATACAGGGCTCTAAAACCTGCCCCGTGTGGCTCAGTTGGTTGAGGGGAATCCCATGCACCAAAAGGTCGCTGGTTCAGTTCCTGGTCAGACCACATGCCCTGGTTGTGGGCTCAATCCCTAGGAGGCACCCCATCCATGTTTCTCTCTCTCTCTTTCTCCCTTTCCCTTGCTCTCTCTCCAAAATCAATAAAAACACATTAAAAAAAGAAAAAAGAACTTCTCTGTCTTAGGGGCCTGGCCTGTAAGTTGGAGAGAGTCAGACTCATCCCGTCCTTTCCATAAAGGGGAGGCTGAGAAAGGACTTCTGGGTCAAAGGCACAGACATTGCTAAGCATCAGGACGCCTAGCCATTCCTGGTGTCACAACCCCCGCATTCACTAGCGATTGAGAGAGGGTGTTCTCAGGGCTGAGCAGAAAAAGGCATGAGCCTGAGCATCCAGCCTGGGAGGAAAGGAAGAAGGTTCGGACACCAGAGTGGGCAGTCCAGTCCCACATCCTCTCATGAGAACCACTTGTTTTTCACGGGGAGCCGCTCACCCTTCCCGCTGGTGATCCCGGACAGATACTCACCCAGCGGCTGGATAGCAGGGGGTGCACTGACACTCGGGCCTGTTGGATCAGGGACTGCTCCTTGACCATCCAACAACGACTGGACAGCCAGGACGGTCTGGTTGTCCATTCCTGAAAAAATAAAAGCAACCTCTTTGGAAGGTCCTGCTCTGACATCACCTTTACAAGCCAGACCCACTGAAAGCCCCTCCCCCCATGCAAAGACAGCTGATGGTGCCCTGATATACATGCTCTCCTCCTTCCACTGCAACAGAACCCAAGACTCTGGCCAAAAGCGAGGCTCCAGAATAAAGATTACACCTCCCAGCCACTCCTGCAGCCGCTCCTGGAATGTTTAAGTTCTGGCCAATGGGGTGCATATGGCAGTTTCTGGGAAATGTTCTTAAAAGCTGCCTGGTATTCGACCCCTTTATTGTCCTATCCTCCATCTGCTTCCTAAAATAAGAATCCCAGGTCAGGAGGACAAGGGCCATGGCCCAGGGCAAAGCAAAAAAGTGGGAAAATCCTGGGCCTCTGAGAATCTTGCAGGACACAGTCACCCTCCTAGCTCTGGACTGTCTTCCTCCGAACTCCCATATGCGAAAAATGAACTTCTAGCCTATCTAAGCCACTGATAGGTTGTGCTGCTCTCTTAATCATGGCTGGATCTAATCCTAAACAATACAGCTCCTCTGAAAATCACCACGTCTTCCCTGTCCACACCCCACAAACCCCACAAACCTGTTTGCACTTGGGTAACCTTACCTCCCCTGTTTTCCAATGCATGCTTGTCTTTTTTGTTCCTCGGTAAATAGCTTAATCTTACTTTGTAGTCAGGGGACTCTTGAAAAGCAGACTATTTCCATGTTTTCCAACTAGTTGTCACTGTTGAGGTTCACAGTAGTAAACCTGTCCAGCCATGTCACTAGCTGGAGGGCAGGCCTCGTCACTCCTCAACCTATCTCCTCTCCCCCCTCTCATTTCCATTCCTTCAGCAAATCTAGCCTACTCTGTCTCCTAAATATCACTCAGATTCACTTTCTCTCCAGCCCCACAGCCGTCCCTTGGGCCCACAACACCATCAGTTCTCAGCAGGACAACCGCAGTCATTTCATTCACCTTCCTGCTGCTCTTCTGGCCCCCTCAGAGCAGCCGGGTGAACTTTATAAAACATGTATCACATTGTGTTGCTCCCCTGCTGACAATCCTTTCTTAGCTCCACTGTGAATCCGAGATAAAGTTCACAAGCCTCCTCTCTAGCTGCTCACCCATGTGAACTCCTGTGAATCCCTACAAGACCTCTCTCGCCCCAGAGCTTTGCAAATAACAGTTCCCAGGTCAACCCACTGCCCACGTCATCTCTAGATCCCCACAGTCCTGCTGCTCGCCCCCTAGCCCAGCATGCATCACACTGTCCTAAGAACTGATATTTTCTTTAATTTATTCACCACTCAATACACAAACACATTCTTGCAGTAAAAATTCAAACACTGATGAATGCCATGGGCCCCAAGAGAAAGCAGGCCTCACCCCATCCTATTGGCTGCCCCTCTCTCCCCCACAAGAGAACCACCACTGACCCTGGCCCTCCACATCCATCACCATCAGAGCAGTGATGCCAGCTGAGGTTGTTTTCCTTTACCGTTTGTCTTTTTTGTAAGGTAATTCGATACTGATAGATTAAATAAAGAGAAGGTAGCCAGAGACTGGGATGGCAGGACACACACAGGCTTTATTGGAGGGAAGGGTACCCCTGCCGGCTGCTTCCAGAGAGAGGAGCGGAAGAGAGCAAGCGCCGGGGTACAAGCACCTTTAAGGATAGGGGATGGGGCTTAGGGCACTCAGCACACGCTGATTAGTGATTAAGGACCTAGGGACTTAGGAATCGGGGGCTGAGGGTATTTGGCAGGTGCTGATTGGTGCTGGTTCAGAGCTCAGGAATGTCTGGCTGCAGGTGGGGTTTATGTCTGTCCATCAACTAGAGCAGTGTTTCCCAAACTTCTCTCATGATGAAAATTACCTGGTGGAGTTGTTAAACTACAGATTCCTGAATCCCAACAAAGAAGTGCTCTAAGCACTAGTTAAGTATACAATTTTACCTATATGTTCCCAAAAATTCTAGTTTAGCCACTTCTTAGTTGGGATTCAGGAATCTGTAGTTTAACAACTCCACCAGGTGATTCTCATCATGAGAGAAGTTTGGGAAACACTGAACTAGAGGAAGAGAAGATCTATCATATACTTGCTCACTGTATCATTTCTATCTATTCTCCACTGGACTATGGGACAGGGACTGTCTGGTTCAATGAGTAAATGGGGGGAGAGGAGGGTTACACCCTACATCATAGTGGGAACTCCAATCCTCCAAGAAGTGAAGGCACATGGCTGAGATCGGGGGAGGGGGGGGGGGAATAGGTTGCAGCGCTCAAAGCCTCAGCCACATACCATGAGTCCGGCCTACTTTCAGTCTGCACTCTATGTGTATACTCATCCTACCACAGCCCTCAAAGAACACTTGTGGGTCTGCACCCCCACCCCCACCTCTCCCAACATCAACTCTCTGCCATGACCCTGACGGCGCTGAGGCTTCCTCCACGGTTTCCAGTCAGCTCTCCGCGTTTGCTGCCTCCAAAGCCCACCATCCCCTGTGCCTGAGGCCCACTCCCCTTTTAGGATCTTGCAGAGCCCAGGACAGTCGGTCGGTGCCCAGTTGTCTGCTGGGGTGGGCCTGGGACACCACGTCCCAGCCAAGCACACCTTTGGCGCCCATCCTTTCTTGGTCTTAGTAGTTTGTAAAACTCGGCATCCCCGAGACGGTGCATAAAATAGGCGCCTGGTGTTTGCTGGGCCTGTTTTATGCACCAAGACCCGGCATTGCCCGCAGGAGGCACCTATCCTTTCCTGATCTGAACTGAGACTGTGTCACAGCGTGATGCCTGCTGGCTTGGCAGCTCGGGCCGCCGAGGCCCTTCTGTCCCATAAAAGCTCCCACCCCACGGTCCCAGGAGGCGGCCGCCCTCTCCCGCGGCTCCAGGCCCGGCGGCCCCACCCTCCGGCTGTTCCCTCCAGCAGCCTCCCGGCCGCCGCAGCAGGTGCCGTTCCGGCCCGGGGCCCTCTCCCGCCGGGCCAGCCTTCCCCCGGCTGTTCCGGGCCCAGGGCTCCCTCCCAGGGCCGCCTCTGTCCCGCTGTTCCGGCCTCGAGGCCCGCCCGCCCCGGAGCCTCCTCGCCGCCGCGGTCCGGGTGGAGGCTCCCGCCAGGCCCGGCTCCGCGGCTCTTCCCGCCCGCGCCCCTCCCCCGGCTGTTCCGCCCGGCGCCCTCCGCCCGCGGCCGCCGCGCGCCCTGGGCCCCGCGCTGCGAGGGCGCGGCGGGAGGGGGCGCGGCGCGGAACAGCCGCTTCCCACGCCGCCGCCGCCGCTCACCCTCCAGGGCCTCGAAGATCGTCTGCGCCATCTTGGAGCCGCCGCCGCCGCCGCCGCCGCCGCCGCAGCCACGGGAGCCCAAGCGGGGCCACGCGAGCATTGTGGGAGCCGCGGCGGCGGCGGCGGCGAGGTCGGGGCCGCCAGGGGGCGCCCGGGAGCCGCCGCCGAACCCCCAGTCCTGGAACCTGGCCATGGCCCGCGGCAACGCCAGCCTCCCGGGCGCCCCGGCTCCGCCTCGAGGATCCAGTCACCGGAGCATGTGGACCCCCATCCCCGCCTTATTTGAATCCCCCAACTTTGCACACCATCCCGCCGCCGCCGCACTAGACCTGACTCCAACTCTGTGGCGCACACACGTCTCCACGGCAACGCAGACCTTATTCCCACTGCACACAGGCATCCCCCACTTTTGCAACCCCCCTCCGCACCTCACCCGGACCACCCAGTTCTGTCCCAAGGACCCGCAGGGGACACAGGGCCCCTGCCCCAACTGTGCAACAGAGTCCCCCCTTGTCCTAGCCTGCTCATCCCCCGCCCGCAGAGAGCCCTGTCCCAGCCCCGCTCAGCCTCTGAATCCCTCGTCATCCCGTCATCCCAGAATTCACCGGTGGCCATCGCCTAACCCCCTCCCCATCCACACCTTTTGGGATCTCCATTTCCTCTTCACACAGACCGCCATCCCTGCCTCTCAGGGACCCCATTTCTGTCACATAAACCCCCAATACCCGCTTCTGCACCCTCCGGCCCAGCCCCATAGAGAGCCCATTCAGATCTCACAGGGGTCCCCCCGCCCGGTCTTCAGACCCTCACGAGGGTTCACTATACACTGAGTCTGAGCAATGTCTCCAGGAAGGCAGTGGTGCTTTCCCATGGAGTTGGGGGTGGGAGGAGCAGACAAGCACGGAATCTTTAAAATTATTTAATTATAAGGTGTGTGTTTAATGACAAGGTGTGATAGTGGTTTCAAAGAAGTACACTTGGATGAAAAGAAAGAGTTGGGGTGTGTATGGGATGGGGGCAAGGGGGGACGACAAGGGAGAGCCCTCAATTGTGATTTCTCTCATGAGCCAAATCTTCCAACTGGGCTACCACAGATTTATCTTTAAATGTTTTCATTATATTTTAGCCTCATCCAAAACAATAATAAAAAAATCACAATTTTTATTTTCTTATATTTACCAAATAAATGTATGACTCCTAAAAAAGTAATATATATATATATTCACATTTGTTCAAAACTCCTCTGTCCTTCTGGAACAGTACCAGCCCCTGATCCTGTTAAATTGCCTTCCAGACCCTCTGCTTATGTTATGGGCATAAATGAATATTGGGGACCAGCCATAATTATAAGAAATACTAGAGGCCCGTGTGCACGAAATTTGTGCACTTGGCGGGGGGGAGGGGAGGGGATCCTTCAGCCCCGCCTGTACCCTCTTGCAGCCCCGTGATTGATTGCCCCACAGCGGGAGGTCCCGCCCACCTCCACCGGCCAGTGGTCTGGGCCTCCCTCTGCAGGGTGATGGTGGTCCAATAGCGCCTCACCACCACCACCACCAATCGCATTGCTGTGTCCACCTTGGCCACAGCAGTCAGTGCTGGGTTGCTGGGGCACCTGTGACGCAGGAGAGACCGAGAGGTCAGCAGTTCAGCCTGCTCTCCAGTCCCCGCCCGCCCGAGCCTGCCGAGTGCATAGCCTGGCGTTCGGTTGTCCATTCTTTCGTTTTGGATGTCACGGACCAAAATATATATAATATTTTATATATTAGGATTAAGCATGCTCTGTTACCATAACGGTTCTGTTCTGATTAGAGAAAGTACATTCTAATGTGGCTGAGAGTTGTCTGCTCTGGGATATGGGAGCTAACATCAGAATGCAGTCCATCCTCTTTTCTGAGAGCTGCTGTCGTGGAAAGATTTACAACCTCGTGGCTGAAATCTCGTTCCGGAGACACCCACACTTTATAACCTCCAGCCCCTATTGCCTGTAATCTGGTCTGGAACCCAGAAGTGCCGGCTGGTTGCAAATGCCCCCAACCTCCCGCCCACCCACCCAGCCTGCATGACTTGTACTGTCCCCATGCCTGTAATCCCTACCTCCCCCGTAATCTTTGCCCTTCTAACCAATATAAGCAGCTGGCTTATGGAAGGCTGCTGAGCAGATTCTTGTGGATGACCTGCTGCTCTCCCATACTGCCGGCAGTATTGGAATAAATGCTCATATATGATTCAACCCTGTCCCTGCTTAATCGGCTGAAGTAGTAACAAGCAGCCTGGACCCCTTGGTTGTCCAGTCACACTTACACATGCCTCAAGGCTTATTTCTACCAGTTAACTCTCCATCCTGCCCTGAACATTACTCCTGTGCCCCACACTGCTACCTTCTTCCCCTTCCAATCTCCCCCTTTGCACAGTGAGCCCTGAGCAAATGTCCCTCACAGAGAACCCACCCTCCTACCAGACTCCATGCCCCACTCTCTCTTCTGGGAACTAGGCTTCACCTCAAGCCCGAAAGCCCCCTTCTCACTGCCTCTCTGGCAGGAATAAGGCCAGTGTTCCCTCCTTCCTGTCTTTCCTTTAACATCCCATTGACCCAGTGGCCTCAGATTCTCATTATCTCTCCTCTGCAAGAATGTCTCAACGTAACTGTTCTTTTTAAAAACATTACTCGAGCCGAGATCGGTTTGGCTCAGTGGATAGAGCGTTGGCCTGCGGACTGAAAGGTCCTGGGTTCGATTCTGGTCAAGGGCATGTACCTTGGTTGCAGGCACATCCCCAGTAGGGGGTGTGCAAGAGGCAGCTGGTCGATGTTTCTCTCTCATCGACTCTCTGTCCCTCTCAATTCCTCTCTGTGTAAAAATCAATAAAATATATTTAAAAATTTTTTTTAAAAAAAGATAAAAACATTACTCGATATATTAGTACAGTCATGTTAATTTAATTAAAAATCTTTACTGGGTGCCTATTGTGTGCTAGGAGGGACAGATCCATAAACAAGAAGATAGAAATCTTTGCCTTCATGGAGTCATAGTTTAGCAGGCAAGATGGGCTGTAAATAAGAAAAAAAAAATTACATGACTTCAAATAATTTTGGGGGGCGTAGGGGAGCCTCCTTTAGGAAGGGTGAATTAGGGATGGCTTTTAGAGGAGGTGAACCTGAGAAATGAGATGGAGTCAGATGGAGAAAAGGGAACAGAGGTCTCAAAAGAACAGAGAGGCCTCTTGGGCAAGTGCAAAGGCCCTAAGGTCAGAATGAAGGGAGTCCAAGGTCTGTAAAAGGAGTAATAGGGTAACTAGTGAGGTATGGGTACAGGGGGATGAGGGAGGAGAGATGGACAGGGCCACTGGGAGGCACTGGACAGCAAACAGTTCTACCAACACAAGCCTTGGCAGCTTCCCACATATTTTCATATATCCAAGAGCATGTACAAATAGTTGATTTTTATCTGCTCTTCAAACATTTCACTTGCTGTTCTCTCTTGTCAAAATGTCATCTTTCACCCTTGGAACAACAGAAGCTTGGCTTCTTGCCTCCCCTAAGAAGCTCTCCCTCGTTTCCTTCGATGTGGTCCCATCCCTCCCTAGCCGTTCGAGTTTCTTGGTACTACCCCTCATGCGATAATCGTTAGCCCTTGGAAGTTTGATTTTCTCTAACCCCTCAATAGGGGGCCCTCTTAACAAAGGAGGTCCTTCATCCATTCTGGTTGGTACTCAGGTCCTGGCACAGAGGTAACCTGGGAAATATGCTTGTTGACTGATTACCTGATGGAAAACCGAATGAGCTTACAGGGAGGTTCTCCAGGCAGGCTTGTTCTGCTTCAAACTTTTTTTTTTCTTCAAGTTTTATTTTATTTATTTATTTATTTATTTATTTATTTATTTATTTTAAAATATATTTTATTGCTTTTGTACAGAGAGGGAGGGAGAGAGACAGAGAGCTAGAAACATCGATGAGAGAGAGTCATCGATCAGCTGCCTCCTGCACACCCCCTAATGGGGATATGCCCGCAACCAAGGTACATGCCCTTGACTGGAATCGAACCTAGGACCCTTCAGTCCCCAAGCTGACGCTCTATCCATTGAGCCAAACCGGCCTCGGCCTGCTTCAAACTTTTTTTTTTTAAATATATTTTATTGATTTTGTACAGAGAGGAAGGGAGAGAGATAGAGAGTTAGAAACATCGATGAGAGAGAGTCATCGATCAGCTGCCTCTTGCATACCCCCTACTGGGGATATGCCCGCAACCAAGGTACATGCCCTTGACCAGAACCGAACTGGGGACCCTTCAGTCCCCAAGCCGATGTTCCATCCATTGAGCCAAACCGGCCTCGGCCTGCTTCAAACTTTTGACTCCTTACCTCCATTTCTTCCAAAATTTATCAGTTCTAGGTCCCATTCCCTCAGGGCTAGCTGGTTGACACTGAACCTAATCCAATAATAGCTTAGAGACTCTTAGAGTAAATAATGTAGAAATTACAGGCATAGAGCCAAACAGGGAGGCGGGAACATTTAAGAAACTTCCAGCCGAAACCGGTTTGGCTCAGTGGATAGAGCGTTGGTTGTGGGAATATCCCCAGTGGGGGGTGTGCAAAAGGCAGCTGATCGATGATTCTCGCTCATCAATGTTTCTAACTCTCTATTCCTCTCTCTTCCTCTCTGTAAAAAATTAATAAAATACATTTTTTTAAAAGAAAAACTCCCAGTGTCCCCCTCCACAATGAGTGAGTGCTCCAGCCACCCAAAAAATGTGAACTTCCCTGTGGGAATCATGAGCAGCTTAAACCAGACTCCAGTTGCAAGGGAAAGAAAGGACATACAAAATAGAGCTTGTCCCTGACATCTTGTTAGATTTGTTGGTATTAGTAGGAGACAGCAAAGCATGATGGTTATTATGGGCTGACTAGTGTCCCCCAGAATTCGTATGTTGACAATTTATATGATGATATTCTAGTACCTCATTAGTGACCATATTTGATGATAGGACCTTTAAAGAGACAATTAATATTAAAGGAGTTCATAGAGGTGGGCCCTAACCCAATGACTGCTGTCCTTATAAAAACAGATTTGACAAAGTTGACTGAGAAGCAGTCATGTACCGACATGGTGAGAAGCTAGCCATCTGAAAGTGAAGGAGAGAGGCCTCAAAAGAAACCAAACCTGCCTGCCTGGTATGGCTCAATGGTTGAGCACTGACCTAAGAACCAGAAGGTCATGGTTCAATTCCTGGACAGGGCACATGCTCGGGATGCTGGCCTGATCCCTGGAATGGGGCATGCACGAGGTAGCCAATCAATGATTCTCTCTCATCATTGATGTTTCTCTCTCTCTCTCCCTCTTTCCCTTCCTCTGTGACATCAATATATATATATATATATATATATATATATATATATATATATATATATATATATATATATATATATATTTTAAAGAAGCCAAACCTTTAAACACCTGGATCTTAGACTTTCCTTCAACTGTTCTCAGCATCAAGACAAAGTTATCTGAACTCACTTGGAGCTAGTAGTGTGGAATATGTCGTAGATTCTTATCACATGAAACTTTAGGGTGAAATACTTAGGGGTCTCAGCTTCATGTGAGGAGTAAGTTCTCCCACTGTGGGCAGGCCCTGGACTTTCAGTTCTGTCCCTCTTGCTCTATGTAGCTAATGAACTGAAACTCACAGATTCAATATTGGCAAATGCCCTCATATTATAAAATAGTTTTGGTCCTCCAACAATCCAATCTTTCTGTTAACTGTTTTTTCAGTTTCCAACCAATAATTGACCTAGGCCAGGGGTCAGCAAACTGTGGCTGGCGAGCCACATGCGGCTCTTTGGCCTCTTGAGTTTTTAGCAAAGGCCAGCTGAGGAGTACCCTAATTAAGTTAATAACAATGTACCTACCTATATCGTTTAAGTTTAAAAAATTTGGCTCTCAAAAGAAATTTCAATCGTTGGACTGTTGATATTTGGCTCTGTTGACTAATGAGTTTGGCGATTACTGACCTAAGCATTCCCCAGGCTTTAATCATTTCAGTGTTTTTCAGAGGATATTTTAATATTTTATTTAATACTAGAGGCTCAGTGCACGAAATTCATGCACTGGAGGGGAGGGGGTTGTCCCTCAGCTTGGCCTGTGCCTTCTCACACATCGGGAGCCCCATGATCAATAGCCCCAATGAGGTAGGCCCCACCCACCCGCTGCAGTCCTGCCATGGGGTAGCCTGGTCCTCCCTTTTTGGGGCAATCATGGAACCCCCTGAATGATTGATCACCCCCGCCAGCTGATAGCCTGGGCCTCCCTCTGAAGGGCAATCATGGGGTGATGGCCGGGCCCCCAACCAATTGCATCACACACGCCTTGGCTGGCGTGGTGCCCATGGGTGTCATAGCGTGGTCGTAGGGAAGGTTGTCCGGAAGATCATTCTGCTGTCTGGTCTAATTAACATATTACTCTTTTATTATTATAGATTACCACTATTTTCAAAGAAAGGGTTACCTGAATTAATCAGTCTACCATACTGAAAAAAGAAAAAGGAAGGGGAAAAAGGAAGAAAGAAATTCCAGTTTCAGTGATAAAATGGGCCCAGCATAATTTCTCCTTCACTGACCTCTGACATCATTCCATGACACTGATTTAGGCAGTAATATCAGAGATAGATAACACATGACCCGAGTACTACTACTCAGTGCTTACCTATTTATCCAATGACAACTCCAGAGAGTAGCATCATACATAGCTGTCACTTATCAATGCTCTGGGAGGTGACAACCCAAACTTCATTGTCTCAACAAGCATATATTGGGCACACACCATGTCCTAATTGCTGGGATTGCAGCAGAAAACAAGACAAAAGAGGGAAAAATTCTAAGAAGAAAATAAAAAGAGCCATAACCAGTTTGGCTCAGTAGATAGAGCGTCAGTCTGCAGATTCAAGGGTGCCAGGTTCGATTTTAGTCAAGGGCATGTACCGTGGCTGCAGGCACATCCTCAGTAGGGGGTGTGCAGGAGGCAGCTAATCAATATTTCTCATGGATGTTTCTAACTCTCTATCCCTCTCCCTTCCTCTCTGTAAAAAATCAATAAAACATATATTTTTAAAAGAATATAAAAAGAGAATAATGAGTCAAAGAGTGGGGAGTGCTACTTTAGATGGGATATCTAGGAAGGCTTCTCTGAGGAGGTGGCATTTGAGCTGAAACCTGAAGGTTGAGAAAGGCCAGCCGTGGGAAAAACTGGAAGTGATGCAAAGCAGGCAGGGAGAGCGCAACTGCAAGGTGCTGGGAGCGTTTTTTTGTTTTTTTATTTGTTTGTTTGTTTTTGAATGCTCAAGAAACAGCAAGGAAGCCAGTTTGGCTGGAGAGGAACGAATGAGGAGGCAAGTGACACGGCATGCGTTTAGATAGGAAAACAGTGGGCAGCTTATACAGAATCTTGTCTTTTGGGTCATGGGAAGTGTTAGGTCCAGGTGGAAAAGAGCCAGACCAAGCCCTGACTGGTTTGGTTCAGTGGATAGAGCATTGGCCTGTGGACTCAAGGATCCCAGGTTCAATTCTGATGTTTCTAACTCTCTCTCCCTCTCCCTTCCTCTCTGTAAAAAATCAAATATATATAGCCAAGCCAAGAGACATTGTGAGAATTTAAGAAATTTTATTACATTCCCTCACAGGGCTGAGTCCAGTGTGTGGAATAGACTCTCTTATAGAGGGTAGATGTATGCAATATAAGGTCAGGATGACAAAGGGGAGAGCATGAGTCAGTCAAGGCAGACACGGGAGGAGAGTGCATGAGTCAGTCAGGCGGAAAGGAGTTCTTATCTTGCTTCTGCAGGTGCCAAACTAGGGGGAAAGGCTTATAACAATATATATTTCAGAAAACACGTCCAAGCAGGAGAGATTGGGGGTAGCTCACCCTTATAGGAAGGAGTTCGGATTTTAAAAACGAATGGAAAACATTGGTGGTGCCAAGTGATTTGCGCTCAGAAAAGATCGCTAGGATCCCTGTTACTCAATTAAAACTGTCACGTTGTGTAAAGCTGGCTCCTCCCAGTGTCACCATTCCAACTTTTTTTTTTTTTTTGGGGGGGGGAGGCAGGCGGCGGCCCCTCTTTCGAAACTTTGCAAACTTAACAGGTGACACACCTCCTTCCAGACCCAAAGGAACACGCTATCTGATTGGACAAACCCAGCGGCGTTTCTGACATTCCTTAGGTCCAGTCGGGCGGGGTCCAAGGTGATTGGTTACAAGCCCTCCCTTTCAGCCAATCAGACTTCTCTTCGGGAGAGTGCGTGAGTCTTGTGAGGTGCGTGCGCCCTATGGCTGGGTCTTCATATCTGAGTGACAGAAGACGCAGCCTATGAGCGTGAAGATGCGGAGGCGCGGCTCCGAGCTGCGGGTAGGTGCGGGCAGTGCCCCCGAACCCGGGGCTGTCAGCGCAGCGCGGACTCTGTGTGCCACCCGGGCGGCGTGAACCCCTCGCCATGGCCGCGCCGCCGCAGCTGCGAGGTCTGCTCCTGGCGGTGAACGCGCTGTTGCGCAAGCGTCGCTACCACACCGCGCTGGCCGTGCTCAAAGGCTTCCGGAACGGGGCAGTGTGAGTGGGCCGTGGGTCCGGCGGGGCTCCGGGACGGGCCTGGCTCGGTCAGCGGCGCGGGTTCCCGGCCTGGCGTCGCTGCTCCGCGTGCCCTTGAACAGCCGCAGTGTGTCTGTAGGTCTCGGTGGCCGTGTCCACCGTCTGCCGTGGGCGCTGGATTTTGGTTGAGCCCCAGGCATGTACTCTGGGAACTGAACTGTGACCTCCTGTTTCTAGGTCGATGCTCCGCGCCTTCTGAGCCGGAGGTCCCACTGTGCTTTTTCTGGGTCCTTGTGCTTTGCAGCCTGCTGGTCCTCTTGTCTTGACCACCTGCCATGCCAGTCTCTGTATTCCCTGCTGTAAGTCTAGCTTCTCCTTTTCCCTCCCCCTCCGCTGGGTGCCCTTGGGCCTCTCTGGCTTCAGTGGCCCCACCTGCACAAAGGGAAAGGTGGCCTCCAGCAGACCTCTGCCTGTGCTCCCCTACCCCACCTCCCACATGAGCCTGGCCTTGGGCTCACACCCCTTTTCTCACTCCCCCCTCTGTATAACCCTGGCGCTCAATCCCCATCTAGCACAGGGACTCCAGGGTCATAAGCCTCAGGGGTGACAGCAAATGTGTTTAGAAGTTGCAAATGCAGTACTTTCTGGGCAAGTACTGCATTTGGACCCTGCCTATCAGACCTGCAGAAGAGGTCTTGGGGTAATAATTCCTACTGCCTGGTTCTTGGAGGGGAGCTGGACCTCCTTTAAACCTCATGCATAACAGCTACCATTTATTGAGAGCCTATTGTGCTAGAACTGGGAACGCAGCAGAGAACAGACTGAACAAAGATCTCTAACCTCCTGGAGTTGGCACCCTAGTGGCAGCCTGGCCTGGTGATAAGGATGTGGACTGCCTCACTTTCTTTCTTTCTTTCTTTTATATATATATATATATATATATATATATATATATATATATATATATATATATTGATTTTTTAGAGAGAGAAAGGGAGAGAGATAGAGAGCTAGAAACGTCAATCAGCTGCCTCGTGCACCCCCTTTCCCCCACAGGGGATGTGCCCGCAACCAACATACATGCCCTTGACTGGAATCAAACCTGGGACCCTTCAGTCCCCAGGCTGACGCTCTATCCACTGAGCCAAACCGGTTTCGGCAGGACTGCCTCACTTTGAATCCTGGTGTCACCTATCTGTGTGATCTTGAGCAAGTTATTTAGCCTCTGTAATCTTCAATTTCTATAAAATAGGGATGGTAATAGGACTTACACTATCAGAGAATTGAGTCAATATGTATGTAATGCTTAGCACAATGCCTTCTGTATGTGTATTACTATTGGCTGCCATTATTGTTATATTCTCATGGCTTCTGCCTGGATCACTTTCCTCACCTTTTCAGGCCTCTGTGAGGCAATCCCTGAACTCCCCACCTTCTTCCCTTCTTAATTTTTCTCCATAGTACTTGTCACCATCTAACACTAAGTATCCTGTTTGTTTTTTCCTTAATATTTTTTTATTGATTTCAGAGAAAAAGGGAGAGGGAAGAGAGATAAAAACATCAATGATGAGAGAGAATCATTGATCGGCTGCCTCCTGCAAGCCTCACACTGGGGGTTGAGCCCCAGGCATGTACTCTGGGGATTGAACTGTGACCTCCTGTTTCTAGGTCGATGCTCAATCACTGAGCCATGCCAGCTGGGCATGTATCCTGTTTTTATACTCTGTCTCTCACTAGAGAATAAGCTTCATGGGGACAGACATTTTTATCTACTTTGTTCTTTGGTATAGTCTTAGAATGTGGTACATAGTAGACTTTCAAATATTTATTGAATGAATGAGTGTGCAAAGAAATGTCATTGTCCCCATTTTCCAGATGAGAAGACTGTGGCTCAGAGAAGTAAATTCATTGCTCTTGATCATGTCACTTTGTCAGGTTCCAAGCCAGGATTTAAGCCTAAGGATTTAAACCCAATACCAGGCTCTTGACTTCCATGGGCACCCAGAGTTCCAGGTAGAAGTTGATTCCTGCTGAGCCGTGGAGGGTGGAATGGACCCTGAGATAGCATCAGTTTCCCTTTGGCAAGGTATTCTTAGGACAAAGAAGAGTTAATAGCAGTCACACAAGCCCTGGTGCCAGCAGGCATTGCTCAGTGTTGGCTTGGTACACCTGCTCCCACTCAGCTCTTCCTGTGATCTCAGGAACCTTCCCAGCCAGGGAGGCACTTGCTAAGGCCAAGTCCGTGGGCTCAAATCTCAGTCCCTTCATTTCAAAGCTGGGTGCCCTTCATCTCTGCTGGCCTCAGTTTCCTCCCCTGTAAAATGGAAACAAACTCACCTCTATGGGTTTTCTTTCTTTCTTTCTTTCTTTCTTTCTTTCTTTCTTTCTTTCTTTCTTTCTTTTTTTTTTTTTTTTGATTTTTATATTTATTTATTTATTTTTATATATTTTATTGATTTTGTACAGAGAGGAAGGGAGAGAGATAGAGAGCTAGAAACATCGATGAGAGAGAGTCATCAATCAGCTGCCTCTTGCACACCCCCTACTGGGGATATGCCCGCAACCAAGGTACATGCCCCTGACCGGAATCGGACCCGGGTCCCTTCAGTCCCCAAGCCGACACTTTATCCATTGAGCCAAACCGGTGCTGGCCTCTGTGGGTTTTCTAAGCAGTGATCCCATTATACTGGTTACTGCTAAAACACCATGCCCATCTAGAAGGATCTGGAGTCCAACGGGTAGGCTGACCTTTAAACTTTCATGGCACTGCCAGGGGATTGGAGTGCCGTCCTGAAGAGGTGATGCTGAGGCTGAGTTGGAGTTGCCAGGGGGAGAAGAGCACCCCAGATTGAAGGGATGGTTTGAGCCCTAACCGGTTTGGCTCAGTGGCTAGAGCGTCAGCCTGCAGACTGAAGGGGCCCAGGTTCAATTCCAGTTGCAAGGCACATAACCAGTAGGGAGTGTGCAGGAGGCAGCTGATCGATGTTTCTCTCTCATCGATGTTTCTAACTCTTTATTCCTCTCCCTTCCTCTCTGTAAAAAAAATCAGTAAAATGTATTAAAAAGAAGAAGAAGAAGAAGAAGAAGAAGAAGAAGAAGAAGAAGAAGAAGAAAGAAGAAGAAGAAGAAGAAGAAGAAGAAGAAGAAGAAGAAGAAGAAGAAGAAGAAGCAGAAGAAGAAAGAAGGGATGGTTTGAACAAATGCCTGGAAGTGGAAAAGAATGTGCTATTTGTGAAGAAAGGCCGTCCAGGAAGACATCCTGGATGACTGAGACATGTGAACTTTGTAAAATTTAACTCATGTTGATGTTCCACTCCTAAACATATCAGTGTGCATCTCTACAAATAAGAGCGTTTCTTTTAAAATATATATATATATATATATATATATATATATATATATATATATATATATAATTGATTTTTTACAGAGAGGAAGGGAGAGGGATAGAGAGCTTGACCTGAATCGAACCTGGGACCCTTCAGTCCGCAGGCAGACGCTCTATCCACTGAGCCAAACCGGTTTCGGCTCCTTCCATACCTTTTAAACAAGTTTTATTTTGTAATACCCTTAGATTTATAGAAGAATTTTCTCGTTTTACACAATTTTACATGTTATACACCTTGCTCTGGTAAGACCCTGCAGTGCACATAAAGTCACCTCATTCTTTTTTTTAATGTTTTTTAAAAAATTTATTTCATAGAGAAGGGAGAGGGAGAGATAGAAACATCAATGATGAAAATCATCTATAGCTGCCTCTTGCATGCCCCCTACTGGAGGTCAAGTCCGCAACCCGGGCGTGTGCCCTGACGGGGAATCGAACTGTGACCTGGTTCATGGGTTGATGCTCAACTACTAAGCCACACCTGCTGGACAGGCTGCCTTATTCTTTTACTGCTGTTTAGTGTTCTACTGAATGGATAGACCATTATTCATTTACCCAATAACACCCCCTGCAGGTAGACCCCAGTTTGCTTCCAGTCTTTGGCTATTTCAAACAAGCCTATAGTGAACATTTATAGATACTCATATGACAACAATATATGGCTCATGACCATTGTTTCAAGGAGAATGCTATGGATTTTTACAGCTTGTAGCCAGGTCATATTTGGGCCTGGCAGTTGGAGAACTTGGTGAGGGAAAAGCAAGTCCAATAAAGAAGAACAAGAAAGATGAGATATTAACATTTGTTGAACTACCAACTTGCACATGTGCTATGTCCTTACCTGCCAGAAGCAACTCTGAAATGTACAGAAGAGGTGATGCTGATATTTTGAAATGGAGAATACTTTTTACTGATGTGAATAGGGCAGCTTAGAGAGGGTAAGTCGGTTATCCAAGTTTATGCAGCAGGACTTTGACACCAGGTACTATTTCCTTTCTACGGCCCACTTTGAACCTAGACCTAACTCAAAAGCTAGCATTATTTTCCTTCCTAAAATGACGCTAGGATTAGGGAGAGTGAGACGGGGGCAAGAGGATCAAAGAAATAGCCTACCCGGGCTGGCATGGCTCAGTGGTTGAGCATTAACCTGTGAACCAGTCCTGGGTTCGGTTCCTGGTCAGGGCACATGCCTGAGTTTTGGGTTCGATCCCCAGTGAGGGGCATGCAGGAGGCACCCAATCTGTGATTCTCTCTCATCATTGATGTTTCTCTCTCCCTCTCCCTCTCTCTCTCAAATCAATATATATATATATAATTTCATATACGGGTGTGTGTGTGTGTGTGTGTATATGTATGTATGTATGTGTGTGTGTGTGTGTATATATATATATATATATATATATATATATATATATGAAATAGCCCAGAAAAATATTAATACAGTGATGCTGTAGTAACTGTTTTCTTTTGTTTTTACAGCTATGGAGCCAAAATCCGGGCCCCTCACGCACTGGTCATGACCTTTCTCTTCCGGAGTGGCAGGTACCCAGCCCCATCTGAACACCCTTTAAATTGGAGAAAATGTAGTCAGGCCTCAGTGCCAGGGCTGTTACAGTAGCTTCCTAGCTGGGTCTAGCCTGTCCCCACACCCAACTCCTAAAGTACAACTCTGATTCTACTGTCCTGCAGTTTGGCCTCAGCTGCATCCCACCCTGTTCTCCCATGTTCACCCTGGGGTGCCTTTGGCACACAGGATTTGCTTTCATTCCATGCACATGCCACATGTGTTTCTATCCATACCTTTGCTCATGCAGTACCCCCCTGCCAGGAGCTCCCTTTTCTCTTCTACCCCACTTTTATTTCTTTCTCAGCAACCCAGGTCTCTGAGGATTACATTCTCAGGAAACTGTCCACGACCTCCCTCTGCTCAAACTTCTTGGTCTTTCTCTAATATCGCAAGTCTTCCCTCAAGTCACTTCTCAGAAACCAGATTGCGATCTAGTTTTTAATGTATGTAGCCTCACAGGAATCATACATGGACAGACTTCTGGCCAAATTCGCTTCAAGATTTTCTCTTTTTGTATTTTTACTTTTTAAAAAAATAAATACTTTATTGATTTTTAAAAATATATTTTTATTGATTTTCTTACAGAGAGGAAGAGAGAGGGCTAGAGAGTTAGAAACATCGATGAAAGAGAAACATCGATCAGCTGCCTCCTGTACACTCCCCACTGGGGATGTGCTTACAACCAAGGTACATGCCCTTGACCGGAATCAAACCTGGGTCCCTTCAGTCGCAGGCCAATGCTCTATCCACTGAGCCAAACCAGTTAGGCCTGTATTTTTACTTTTATACAGAGGGAGAGGGATAGAAAGTCAGATACATTGATGAGAAACATCGATCATCTGCCTCTTGCACATCCCCTACCGGGGATGTGCCCGCAACCAAGGTACATGCCGACCAGAATCAAACCCGGGACCTTTGAGTCTGCAGGCCGACGCTCTATCCACTGAGCCAAACCGATTTCGGCTGTATTTTTACTTTTAAAATTTATTTGTGTTTGGTTTGTTTTTGCACTCCAATTCTTTTTTTTTTTTTTTTTTTAATTGAGCTCAGTCATTTATTCAGTAGATATTTATTGAGCATCTGCTGTGGAGCAGACACTGTTTGAGATGCTGGGATACAGCAGAGAACACAACAGACAATGTTCACTGCCCTCACAGAGCTGCATTCTAGCAGGAGGTGGAAGAAGAAAAAACATGATAACTAAGGAGAGTATGTGTGAAAAGGTGATATGGGCTGTGGGAAGTAAACATTAGGATGAGGAAGGAGAGAAGGGGATCAGGAGTGCTGGAGGAAAGGCAGATTGCAGAATTAAATAGGGAAGGCCTTCCTGAGAAAGTGACATTCGAGTAAAGACGTGAAGGAGGTGAAAGAGTTGGCCAAATGGGCATTAAGGGAAAGAGAGTGCAAAGTCCCCGAGGTGAGGTCGTGCCTCGTAAATCTGAGGAGGCTGGAGGTGGGGGGTTTGAAGGGGTGAGAACAAAGAGGAAGGTAACTGGGCCTGTGCTGTCCAACTTTAAAGAGGAGCTTGGCTTTTTTTTTTAGTGAAACAGGAAGTTGTTAGCTTTTTTGCAGGGATATGGTACTGTTTGCCCTATCTTTTAGTGAGAGTGAAGAGTTTGCTGCCAGATTAAGAACAGATGGGTGAGGATGCCAAGGGCAGAAGTAAGTGTAAAATAGGAGGCTGTGACAATAATGCAGGGGAGTAACTCTGATGGCAGTGAAGATTAGGAATGGTCAGATTCTAGAAACAATATGAAGACAGGATTAGTGTTAATACTTAAAAACTGGGGAATCTAACTTGTCGTAGAATTGGCAACACTGGGCCCATGTCCTGTGGGGCAAGAGCCAGCTGATTTCTGGCTATGTCCTCTCACCTGACAGATTTCCACAGAGCTTAGTAGACCCACTCCAAGGTCCTCATTTAGCTTCAAGGACACTTGAGTTTACCATTCCTGAATTGATCTCCCAGGGTACACTCTGTACTTCTCCACTGCCCCCAAGTGATTTAATTTATTTTAAAAATTTTTATTGGTTTTAGAAAGTGAGAGGAAATGAGAGAGAGTGGGAGAGAGACATCGATTTGTGGTTCCATTCATTCATTTAAAAAATATAATTTTTTTATTGATTTCAAAGAAGAAGAAGAGAGAGAGAAGAGAGAGAGAAGAGAGAGAGAGAGAGAGAGAGAGAGAGAGAGAGAGAGAGAGAGAGAGAGAAACATCAATGATCAGCTGCTTCCTGCATGTGCCTCACTGAGGATTGAGCCTGCAACCCCAGGAATGTGCTCTGACCAGGAATCAAACTGTTACCTCCTGATTTATAGGTTGACGCTCAACAACTGAGCTACCATCACCAGAACACTCATTTTTTAAAAAATTGAGGGAGAAGAGGAAGAGGGAGAAAGAGAGAGAGAAACGTCAGTGTGAGAGCAAAGCATTGACTGGCTGCATCTTGCACGCCCCCTACTGAGAATTGAGTCCTGACCAGTAATAAAACTGGCAACATTTTGGTGCACTGGTTGCTGCCTAACCAATGGAGCCATGCCAGCCAGGGCTATTGTTCCACTTATTTATTTTTTATTTAATTTATTTATTTTTTTTACAAAAACACTGAGGGGAAAAAAATTTTTTTTTAGGTCTCCTGAAAATTTGTGTTGTCTTCTAACAAGAAATCAAAATTCATTATAACGTGTGATTTTTTATTTTTGAATGTTCTTATTCCACCTATTTATGCATTCATCGGTTGATTCTTGTATGTCCAGGGATTGAACCCACAATCTTAAACAACATTCTAACCAACTGAGCTATCCAGACAGGTTCCAAGTGATTTAATTTTAAAGGATAAATCAACTACCTACCCTACTTAAATGTTTGTTTTTCTCAGGATAAAGAGAAAACTTAGCATGGTCTACCCTCCATCCTTTGCCCACACATTCTCTGCTCAGATTTTCCTCTGTTCCTTTACTCCCCACTCTCTGTCCCTCCTCAGGATCTTTGCTGATCCCTCTGCCTGGGATGCAACTCCTCTCCCCTCTTGACCACATTGATTCCTCACCCTTCAGATCCCACGGTTATCTCTTATCAAGGTCAAAATTTGACCCTGGCTTTGTGATTGCATTTCCCTCTCTGATTAGATCATAAGCCTCATGAGGACAGCAAGATCTCCCCCCCCCCAGAATTATATTCCCAGACCCAGCACACAGTAGGCACTCCCTCCCTCTTTCATTTATTTCTCCTCATGTTCCCACCAAAAAAATATTTATTGAGCACCCACTGTTTGTCAGACGCTGTTCTGGGCCCTAAGGATGAACAAGTCAGCTGTGGATACCACTCTCTGGTACCTTCCACTGGGACGGGGTGGGAGTGGGGGAGATAATAAACAAGCATATTAAGTCAGATGGCAATAAGACCTATGAAGGGGGAAAAAAAAAAAAAAGTAGGGTAAGTGTTCAGATGTGATAGGCATTCTTTTATGTAGGGTGGTCGGGGAAAGACTCTGAGGAAGTGGCATGATATGAAGGCCTGAATCAAGGATGCCAGCTGCCCTCAGGATATAGGTGTGAGAGGCCCTGAGCTCCTTGTGTGGCTTAGTTTTGCATGCCCAATGGGTGAATGCCCTACAAATGGCTGGGCCTGCGCTCATGGTAATTCCCTAATTTTGTGCAGCTTCCAGGAGAAGCTTCGAGCCATCCTTCGGGCCACGTACACCCACTCTTCGAACCTGGCCTGCTTCGTGTTCACCTATAAGGCCCTCTGTGCCCTGCAGGCGTACCTGCAGGGGGAGACCCACCAGGTACACTCGTTCCTGGCTGGCTCCATCGGGGGCTTCCTGGTGTTTAAAGAGAACAATAACATCAACAGCCAGGTAAGCATCCTCCCCGGGAGTGTGTGTGCGGGCTGGCTGGGGGTTTGGGGTGGGATATGGTTCAGGTTTAAGTTGGAGTGGGATATGGTTCAGCTTATTGCAATTTTATGATTCCCAAAATCAATGTGTACGGCTCTCTGGGGACAAAGATGTTTTTATTTTTTTAAAGAAAATCACTCTGCAGTAAAATGAGGCGGGGAAAAGGGACCCTGATTATGATTTTCATAAAACAAAATTTATTAAAGAATTGCCTCTTATTCTGTAACTTGTCCTTTTTCTGGGTTAAAGTTCTATTTATTTTTTTATTGATTTCAGAGAGAGGAAGGGAGAGGGGTGTATGGGAGAGAGAAAAAGAGAGACAGAGAGAGAGAGAAAGAGAGAGAGAAACATTAATCAATTGCCTCCTGCATGTTCCCCAAACCAGGGATCAAATCCAGACCTGGAATTGAGCTTGCCACCTTTTTTTTTTTAATCAAAATTTCTATTTTATTTATTTATTTTAAAATACGTTTTTATTGATTTTGAGAGAGAGAGAGGAATAGAGAGATAGAAACATTGATGAAAGAGAAACATCATTGATCGCCCTCTACAGGGGATCGAACCTGCAACCCAGGCATGTTCTCTGACCTGGAATTGAACTGGTGACATCTTGGTTCATGGGTCGATGCTCTAACTGCTGAGCACACAAGCCAGGGCTATTTAAATATTTTTAAATTATTACAGTTTTATTTTCACATTTTAAAAAAATGCAGATTAAACATCCCCTATATACCTGGCATATGTGTAGGTGCTTGGAATGCATGATAAATAGAAAATTGAAAAAGTTTCCATCCTCCTGCAATTGTCAAGCCACTGTCCTGGGATGGGCATTTTATTTATTTATTTATTTATTTTTAAAATAAATATATTTTTATTGAATTTTATTATTTATTTATTTATTTATTTATTTTTACAGAGAGGAAGGGAGAGAGATAGAGAATTATAAATATCAATGAGAGAGTCATTGATCAGCTGCCTCTTGCACACTCCGCACTAGGGATGTGCCCGCAACCAAGGTACATGCCCTTGACCGGAATCGAACCCGGGATCTTTCAATCAGCAGGCTGACGCTCTATCCACTGAGCCAAACCGGTTTCGGCTCCTTCAGCCTTTTTAATATCAGAGCCCTCAACTGCTGGGTGGATGGTCCTGCCTTCATTTTACTAATCTCCTCTCGATGGACATGTAGGGTGTCTGTAGCCTTTTGCCATCACACACATGCAGTCTACATCTTTGTTTGGACATCTTCCTGCATTTGTGTCAGTCTGTCCGAAAGTTCCTAGACATGGAAATATGGAATCTGTGCATGTGAGAGTTTTCTGTTTTGAGAAAATTTCCTCGGTTTTATATTTGTTAGAAATTTCACATCCAAAGGTAAAGAATCCTGGTCACACCATCTCCTTCCCCCTCTTCTCTTTTCCTTGACTCCTGGCAATAATTATTCTGACCTCCATTTCTAAAATCTTGTCATTTCGAAAGTGTTATATAAGTGGAGCCTTACAGTATGCAGTCTTTGGGATTGGCTTTTTTCACTCGGCATAATTCGCTGGAGATTCATCCACGTTATTGAGTCTGTCAGTAGTTCATTTATTTTTATTGCTGAGTGGTGATCCATTGCATGGATATACCACAGTTTGTTTAAACATTTATCCCCAGAAGGACAAGTGAATTGTTTCCAACTTTTGGCTATTAGGAATACAGATGCAAAGAATATCCTTGTACAAGTTTTCGAGTGAGCATTAGTTTTCATTTCTCTGAGATAAATGCCCAAGAGTACAGTTGTGGGTCAAATGGTACATGCGTGTTTAGTTTTATAAGAAACTGCAAACTATTTTCCACAGTGACTCTACTATTTTACATTCCCATTAGGAATATATACAAGTGACTCAGTTCCTCTACATCCTAGCCAGTATTTGGTTTGTCTTATTTTTTTTATTTTTTATTTTAGCTATTTTGATAGGTGTAAAGTGCCATTTCATTTGTGGTTTTAAGTTTGCATTTCCCTGAAGGCTAATAATGTTAAAAAGCTTTACATGTGCTTATTTCCCAACTTCAGTGAAGTTTCTGTTCACGTCTTTTGATCATTTACTAATTGGGTTGTGTGTGTGTTTTTTACTGTTAAGTTTTGAGTTTTTAAAAAATGTATTCCAGATAGTAATCTTTGTCATATATATATATATATATATATATATATATATATATATATATAGTAAATACTTTCTCCCAGTCTATAGCTTTCTTTTTGGCCTCTTCACATGGGCTTTCATAACAAAAATATAATAATTAATTTTGATGAGAACCAGATTATCAAACATTTTAAAGGATTTTTTTGGTGTCAAGTTACTTTTTAGTTTTGAACCATGTAGGTATATTAATTAAAATTTTTTAAATAAGTAAAAATAATAAATTAAAGATATAAAATAGTATTACTTAAAATGTCCATACTAGTAAGACAATCTACAGATTCAGTGCAATTCCTATTGAAATACCAATGGCATATTTCACAGAGTTAGAACAAATACTCCAAAAATTTAGATGGAATCAAAAAAGACCCTGAATAGCTGCAGCAATTTTGAGAAAGAAAAATAAAGTTGGAGAAATCACAATACAAATTTCAAGTTATACTACAAAGCCACCATAATCAAAACAGCCTGGCATTGGCACAAGAACAGGCATATAGATAAATGGAATAGAACAGAGAACCCAGAAATTGACCCAAATCATTACACTCAATATTTGACAAAGAAGGTAAGAGCATACAATGGAGTCAAGAGAGAGGTGTTGGGAAAATTGGATAGATACTTGCAAAAAAATGAAACTAGACCACCAACTTAAACCATACACAGTATAAACTCAAAATGGATAAAAGACTTTTACATGTAATTTGTGAAACCATAAAAGTCCTAGAAGAAACCATAGGCAGCAAAATCTCAGACATCAGCAAATCAATAAATGACAAGTGCTGTCAAGGATGTGGAGAAAAGGGAACCCTAGTACAATGCTGGTGGGAATGCAGACTGGTGCAATAATTATGGAAAACAGTAAGGAGTTTCCTTAAAAAATTAAATCTGGAACTACCATTTGACCAAGTGGATTCCACTTCTAGGAATATATCCTAAAAAACCTGAAACACCAATCAGAAAGAATGTTATGCACCCCTATCCTCATAGCAGCACAATTTACAATAGCTAAGATCTGGAAACAGTGCAAGCGCCCATCAGTAGATGAGTGAATAAACAAGTTGTGGTACATTTATACCATGGAATACTATGCAGCAGTAAAAAAAGAATATCTTACTGTTTGAGACAGCATGGAGTATCATGCTAAGTGAAATAAGTCAGAGAAAGACAAATATCACATGATCCCACTCATATATGGAATCTAAGTAACAAAATAAACTGATGAATGGAGTGGGTCCAAAGACATGGAGGCATGGAACAGAGTGCAGAATCTCATAGGGAAGGCAGGGAGGGTGGGTGGGAGGTAGTCAACCAAAGACTATATATATATATATATATATATATATATATATATATATATATATATATATATATATATCTGTGTGTGTGTGTGTATAATAGAGGCCCAATGCACGAAATTTGTACAAGAGTAGGCTTCCTTCCCCTGGCTGCCTGTACCAGCTTCCCTCCGGCACCCAGGACCCGGGCTTCCATCACAGCCCCGGCTAGGTCTGGAAGGACATCTGATCTAAATAGCATATTACACTTTTATTATTATAAATATGCATGACTCATGGACACAGACAATAAGGTGCTAAAGACCGGGGGAAGTAGGGGGGTAGGCTGGAGGGGGTCAATGAGGGAAAAAGGGGATATATGTAATACTTTCAGCAATAAAGAATAATTTTTAAAAAATTAAAAGTGAGGTCACAACCTTAAAAAATAAATAATATAGTACTGTTAAAATGTCTGATAGCACTTCATCTGCACACCCACTTTGAAAAACACCGATCCATGCACGGGGGCGGGCAGAAGGTTCCCAGTGGCTGTGCACGCCTGTAATCCCCTGTCGTTCCCTCCCTGCAGATCAACATGTACCTGCTGTCACGCGTCCTATTTGCCCTGTGCCGCCTGGGCGTAGAGAAGGGCTACATTCCCGAGCCCAAGTGGGACCCATTCCCGTTGTTCACCGCGCTGGTGTGGGGGCTGGTGCTGTGGCTCTTTGAACACCACCGGCCCACGCTGCAGCCCTCGCTGCAGTCCTCTATGACCTACCTGTACGAGGACAGCAATGTGTGGCACGACATCTCGGACTTCCTCATCTACAACAAGAGCCGTCCCTCCAACTAACGCAGCCCCGAGGCGCTCATGGGGGCCGCCGCCTGAGTAGGCTCTGGGTGGCGTCCGGTTGTGGCTTGAGATTGGCTCCATCCGTGAAACTTCCCAGAGGATCCTGCCTTCCCAAGATCATGGCTCTCAGACTCCAACTTTTATTAACCCAGGGTTCCATTGTCCAAAGCAAAAGCACCGATTTCCCAACCTCATTAGGCCCTCCTGAATGGTGGCGTAAGAGGTTGAGTCAGGCGGGGGAAACTAAGGCACGGTTCCAGCGTTCTGCTAACTTCTGTGAGACCAGGGAAGTCACCCCCTCTCTAGGCCTCAGGGTCCTGGAGCTCAGAGGAGGCCCCGAAATCTCTTTCTGGTGGGTATGTTCCTTGGCTGTTCTTACGCGGGTGGGCAGTGGGTTTGCAAATATGTTTTTACAAAATACTAAGTTCCTTCCCTCTAGTGTTCTATTGGAGAGGCTCTAGAGTTTTACTGTCCAGTAGAAACATGATGACAGTCATATACATATGTAATTGAAATTTTTCTAGTGGCCACATTTAAAAAAAAAAAAGTGGAAAGATGAGATTCATCTTGATATATTTTAGCCCAAATTGCTAAAGTATTATCATGTCAACATGTAATTACTATGAAAATAAGGTCTTTTATATTCTTTTTTTCTTATGCGCAGTCATCAAAATCAAGTATGTGCTTTACATTTACAGCACGCCTCAATTTAGACCAGCCATATTTCCAGGCTCAGTAAGTAGCCCTATGTGGCTGGCAGTGACTGTATTGGGCTATACAGATATAGAATACTTCTATCATCACAGAAAATTCTATGGGCATTGCAGATACAGAGCTAGAGGACATGGTTGGAGTCTCCACCCACCACTATGTAATTTTGAGGAAGGTTTGTGACCTCCCAGAGTCTCAGTTTCTTGTAAAATGAGGATAATTGTAATAATACCCGGTGTCCATGTTGGACTTGTATAACTGCAACTGCTGCTACCCACACTAATCATTTCCATCTAATGAGCTCCTACTTCCTTCTGGGTGCTTTGCACATACTTTTTAAATCCATACATTCTACAGATGTGGAAACAGAATCAGAGAAGGGAAGTAACTTGCCCAAGATGTACAGTTAGTATGGTAGCCCTATCAGGGTTTGAACCCAGATTTATCTGATTTCAAAGCCTGTGTGTTTTTAAGTGCCTTACTTTAAATTTAGAAACCTAAGCTAAGCTATGTAAATGTTAGCTAGTTCTAGGGTTTGTTTCAGAAGGAGGTTCACACTCAAATGCTTCTAGGAGCCCGACAGTGGCATAAATGATAATGTTCTGGGTGCTATGTAGTAGGGACTGACGGGGACGTGGTGAACTGGAGATTCGTGTGCCAGTACGATATTTTAAAACCAAGCTAGACAAATCAGTCAGGTCTCTAGGAAGATTTGGTCCATGGACCCACTCATTGGAGTCCCTTAGCCTAATAGGAATATCTCAGTCTCTTTATATTTTAGAACTTACTAGTAGAAATGTACACATGAGTCACCGGAGATCTTATTAAAATGCAAACTCTGATTCGGTGGGTTTGGGGTGGGGCCTGGATATTCTGCATGTCTCTCAGACTCCCAGGTGCTGCTGCTGCTGCTGCTGCTGGTCTGAGCCACACCTTGAGTAGCAAGGTTGTAGGGGATGATATGGGGCCAACTGCTATCCCATGTGACACATGTGGAAACTGGATTAAACAGAGCTGAGCTGTTAGGTAACAGAGCAGGGATTAGGTCTGATTCTCACAGCTGTGTTCTCAGCCACGCTGTTGTACTGCCAACCTGGAGAAAGGGATCTTGAAGGTTCCTTAGTTCATTCTGTGGAGGGTGAATGAGATCCTAAGGTTATAGGGACCTTATGGGAAGGGAGGGGGGTCGTCGGCAGCAAGTGGGTTGCCCATATCCTTTTAGTTTACCACGTTAGAGCATACCAGCTCTTCCTGCCATCACTTGCCACTGGCACCTGCTCTGCCACCCCGCAGCAGACCTGCAGAGGATTAACACATCCAGGGCACAGCTCTCAACCAATGCCTGATAAATAGCCCCTCCCGCCCCCGTTGCCCAGTAGGCATGCTCCACTCTGGCTCCCAGGGCGCTCTAGCAGGTCTGAGCCCCTCTTGTCCACAGTGGTCAGTTGCTCGGTAACACCTCCTTTCCTGTTCCCCTTCCTCATGCCCCTGCCAGTGCTTCCCAGGACCCCTTCCCGCGTACACCACGTGCACTCACACCCTTGTCTTGGGGTCTGCTATTGGAGAACCCAAGCTAAATAAAACTGGCCTCTGGTAGAGCAGGTTGAGAGGCAGTATAACACGGTGGTGGGGGACATAGTCTGGGCTCAGCTCTGGCTCTGTAGTTTCCTAGGGCAAGTGTACCTATTCTGTACCTGTGTTTCATCATCTGTAAAGTGGTGGTTCTGTAGGGAGATCTGGAGGATTAAATATGGCACATTAAGTGGTCACTCGGTAAATGTTTGCTGTTATTTCTAATAGTGTTCACACACAGAAGGAAGCATGGTCCTGAGAACTGAGTATACCCTGCTTTCAGCCTGTCCTACCCGCCAGCTGAAGGTAAAGCCTTGGCTGCCTGCCCTCCCCACGCCCCCCGCTGCCACTGGGGTTGGCCAGCTCCACCACCGACTGCCTCTGCTCTCTAAGAATAGGTTTTCCTGACAGATGGCATCGCTCTGGGTCCTGCCAGAGCATCTGGTGCCTCCAACTGCTCACTCCGGGGAGGAAGGCGGGGTGGGCCTTGCCGAGGAGCAGAGTGTGGCTTCCAGCAGATCTGAAAGGAGTCCCCCCTCGGCTCCCTCCTAAGATCAGTAAAATGGGCATTGCCAAAGGGCCTTGGTACACAGTAGGCACTCCATAAATGCTGGTTCCTTAAACAGCACAGCGGTTTAACATGTTTGTTTATTATGCACTCGCCACCTTCCTACAAAGCCTTCTGACATGCAGGACTGTAAATAATAACTTCATTTTAAAAAGATTTTTTATTGATTTGAGAGAGAGAGAGAGAGAGATCGACGTGAGAGTATAAAACCAATCAGCTGCCTCTGAGCCCGCAATCTGTGCATATGTCCTAACGGGGAATCAAACCAACAATCTTTTGGTGCCCTGGACAATGCCCAACCAGCCACACCAGCCAGGGTTGTAGACAGTAACTTTAAATTAATAATACGTACACAGAGTACGAAAGTTGTGCAATAGGAAAGTCAGGTTCCATCCTACAACCCAAGCTCCTCCCCTCTCTTGCCAGGGCTGCTCACTGTTCGCACTTCCCAGTGCTGCCCTCCGGACACAGTCCGCGCAGAGTCACCCATCCTTGTCTCCTAAGAACCTAGCACATCCCACTGTCTTCTCAGCAACTCTGGCATTTCCTCTCTGCCCTCTGCATTGTTAGATTCTCTTTGATTAATAATCTGAGTTCTTTCTTTGAGCTAGTTCCCTCAACTCAATCCCTAGCCCCCAAATATCTTGGCAGATTAACACCAAGTGAAAGGGAAGGACACAGCTGAGTAATTTGGGGCCCTGCTGCTGCTCTGCTCCCAAATTAGAGATCTTCCAGTGAACCCACAGGAGAGCAGTGATTCACAGGCTGGGTGCCAAGAAATCGCCTCAGGATGCTCGCTGCTCCCGCCTTCCACAGGCTCTAGAAAGGATCCAGGAGCTGGTGCTTCTTTCTCTATTGTTCACTTCTCCCACTCCCCCGAGTGCATTTTGGGTTTATAAGAATCAGGCTTCAAACTTAAACCAGAACATTGTGCTGTGCTCCACTTCCTGGAACAAACCCCACGTGTCCACAGTCTGTGACTTCAGATAAGTTTCTTGTTTTAATGGATAAGAGTATTTTTTTTTTTTTAAAGTCATTCTCCTCCCCTCCCCTTATCTAATTCCAGATTCATAGGGAGAGAGTCTGTCTTGCTTCAGCCTTGAAGAGCATTTTGGATGAGGAGTTTAATTTTAACCAAAAAGTATCCTGAAGGGCCGAAACCGGTTTGGCTCAGCGGTAGAGCATCGGTCTGTGGACTGAAAGGTCCCAGGTTCAATTCCGGTCAAGGGCATGTACATTGGTTGCAGGCACATCCCCAGTAGGGGGTGTGCAAGAGGCAGCTGGTTGATGTTTCTCTCTCATCGATGTTTTTGGCTCTCTATCTCTCTCCCTTCCTCTCTGTAAGAAAAATCAATAAAATATATTTTTTTTAAAAAAGTATCCTGAAGGATTCACTCTTGTGATCTGGAGGCCACATTGTCAGGCAGAGGACTGAGGGAAAGTCAGGTGTTCTTCCGAGTATTATTCTTAATTGATTTTAGAGAGAGGAAGGGGAGAAAGAGAGAGAGAGATCCGTTGTTCCACTCAGTTATGCATTCATTGATTGTTTTTTGTACGTGTTCTGACCAACCCCACAACCTTGGTGTATCAGGATGATGCTAACCAACTGAGCTATGTGGCCGGGGCTGTCAGTATGTTTTTAGAGAGGGCTTTCTAGTGGAGGGCTCCCCATTTTCTGTACCAGGTCTCTGCTCAAAGCTGCTGCAGATGTCACAATTTTATAAACAAACAGGAAATAGAAGCTATGAGGTCTCTTTTGGAAACCTTGTTCTCACTGCTCTTCTGAGCTTCTCCCTTCAGCCTTTCTTCGTGGGCAGCATGTCAGCTGACAGAAGGGTCAGGGACACACCATCAGCTCTTTAGGTACCTTTTATATGTGTGTCATGAACCCCTTTGGCATCTGGTGAAACCTATAGATGCTTCTCTCTCTCTCTCTTTCTCTTTCTCTCTCTCTCTCTCTTTGACCCTTCTCTTAATGCTGTTTTAAAAACATATACAATACATAGGATTTTAAAAAGAACAACTATTACATTAAATTTTGAAATAATAAATAAGATAGTTTTAAATATATTTTTATTGATTTTAAGAGGAAGGGAGAGAGAGAGAGAGAGAGAGAGAGAAACATCAATGATCACAGACTCATTGATTG